GTTTGCCTTGCTACTCCCCTGCATCTCACCATAATCGTCCTTCCTAAAACCCACTTATTGGTTTGCGAACAGCTGGGCTCATCCCTATATCCACCTATGCAATGCCCCTTCAATCAGCGCTAAGCAAAAAGCATTTTGCCATCGCCAACAGCCTCAGAATTTGCCACAGGATCACAGGCACCCAGATCCACGATGCTGAGAGGTCATTTCTGGTTTTTCAGGATTTCCTATAAATTCAATTGTTCCCGTAACATCTGTAGTATAAAAATAAAATTGAGGTTTACCTATTAATACTGTGATGCGATTGATTGGGGCAGAAAGTTTTGCATTCCGTTTGCTTGTGAAGCAGTACAAGCCTCAGGGTTTTCAGTGAGCAGGTGCTAGTGAAGCGAATTTCTGAGTGGGCGCAAGTAGTTTTAAGCTAGACTTTGGCCAGAGCGTGTTTAATTCGCAACAGCCTTGCCACCAACGTCATTCAATGACATGGGTCTCTGTTCTCTCCTCGCTGCCTATCCTTGAGGAACACTGGTCTATTACTTGAAAGCGGAGGCGTCAAAAAACATATCTGTGAAAACGTTTTCCAAGCTCCCTAGGGATCCCCTATCCCGAAGTCCGTGGATGAAGCTCAGTTCACTCGTCCGCGTGCATTTTGAGGTTCGCTTTGAGCATTTCAGCTGAATTGTTTTTTCTGATACTAACTGAGTTGTTCGGCTGCCCGTAAGTATCCAAATACAGTGAAGGTTCTCTCTATAAAACCTAACAAAAGAAGAGCAACGGGGACGCTTTCGAATTGCATACTGCTAGTAAGACACCAATGGCTGTTCAAGTACTAGACTCCAACTACAATATACGTAGGCAAGTGTGCCGCAATTATATCCACGATAAGTTACTGCAACGTGTATTGCTCTATGTACAAGTATCTGAGTGGCAGCGGGACTCTCGTCAGCTGCGTATCTTCTACTCCCGTCCCTTTCAACCGAGACTTTCAAGCGATCTTTCGCCACGGTTTGCCTTCAGTGTCCCAGCAGGGAGAAGCATGAACTGTTATCAACAATATGCTATGAAGCGATTCATAAACACTCCGGAAAATGCTGAGGCTAGTAACATGAGGACGTCACGCACTACCGTGAAAACTTTTGCCGGCCAGGGAGTCTGATGGCATACGCCGGCAGACAACTTGACGTTAGAGTTAGCCTTGACCACGAAATGATGTTACCTAGCTCCCTTGCCACCCGGTGGTGAGAACAAGAAGAAGCTACTAGGCACTAAGCAATGCGCCCGCGCATGCAGGTTCATTTTCATAAACGCTCTTTGAAGCCCGTCCAAAAGAATGATTGCTAGTGCCCATTTCACAGAGTCATGCGCACCAAGGAAGACAGAAAATCCAGCGTATGCAGCAGTCTTACGCTAGCCTCCACAGAGGTTGCTCAGGCGATGCCGTGCCAACTTGACTGCTGGGTGCTAGGGCTACGAGAATTGTGGTTCAGTACACATTCGCAGGAGCCTAGTTCCAAAAGTGCATAACACCGTGCACTGAGCCTTGCGGCTATCCAAAAATTCAGGAAAGAACAAATGACCGGATGGATTATTTTCAACCAGCCGATGGAATGACCTTCCAATAGCGAGACTCATTCCGAGCGCTGGCCGTGGTGCGTCGGTCCGATCAATGTCCTGCACCCAGATATTACTATGCATTCACCTCCTAAGGCCTTTTACGCCTTATGATAATGAAATGAAAATAGGACATTCACCAGAAGCAATGCGGTTGTGGGGTTTCACCCTCCCTCTCTTCCTGCCGTGCCGCAGCAGACTGTGCTCTGTTCTTTTTCCAAAATAGAAAAGCCGCGCTCTCTGGTAACATTTAAAAGCTATTGCAGTTGTTGTCGCAGTAACAACTTGAGGAAATAGTGAGAACTCCTCAGGAATTCTGCGGCTTGAAAATGGTGCTTACCGGTAGCCGTACGGTGGTAGCTTCCGCTAGTGCCAGTCATGCAATGCTACGATGCATTCCTAACAAGATTTGTGCACATCCGCAGGCGCGGAGTTGTTTCCCCTAGGAATTTCTTGATTACCATTCGTGGAAAGTAACACAATTACAAGGGAGCCGCTTCCGCACATTCCCCAGTGACGCGTCGTCTTGCTCACATGCTGGGAACTGCGTGAGGCTCTCGTGCGAATGCGTGGAATTGCCCATAAGCGGAAAGTTGATTTTCATTGGGCCACCATTTCGTCCATGGGAAACTCAAGTAGAGGAGTGTGTTTAAGGAACGGGCTTTGGCATCAGCTATCGGCCAGCGACAATCGAGTCTTTGCTTGCAGTCGGTGACTCGAGGCGTAGGCTAGCAGCTACCCAGGAAAGCATAACATTACTTGGGTGAACATAGCAGCACCGCCTGCAGACATTTTGTTCTCCATCGCATTCTTGAGGGTGCTTCTCCCCTGCGTTCCGCTCTGAACGCACGTCCTCCACTAGGAAGGCACGGCCGAGGAAGAGAGGAAGAGCCCGCATCGTAGGGTTCGGCCAGGGTATCTAACCACGTAGTTCGGGGCATATCTTGATTCCGGGTGGAATACTGGCTTTTCAGGCCGAGCACGTTCACCTACCGATTTTGTGCCTTCGGTCTCAATGTGAGCGGCTCGCGACGTCACAGGAGGCTTCGGGGAGGATCACCCAGCCACTTTTTTCAACTCTTTACCGCTCTACGGGCACACCTACCCTGGAAGTAGATGTGGGTGGCATATGTTAAGAGCTTATAGGAATGGCGGATTCCACGCCGGAAGAGCAGTTTTCGTTGCTCAGTCAGCAGCTTCTGCTGCTGAACCAGCTTCCTCAGCAAGATTACAGTCCGATGACATTAGAATCATCGCCTCCTAAGCCTCATACTCCTCGCGAGAAGCCGCAGATCAGCAGCCCTGCGGATAAAATTCCGCTGGGGTCGTTGGACAGCGGCGGGCCACTGGTTGACCAGGCGTCCATGGACTCTCAGGCATATCCACCGGTAAAGCAGGAGTTGCAAGATGCGACAAATGTCAAGTCTCAGCGGCTTCAGCAGATGCAGATGGCACTGATAGAACACCAGAATCAGTTGCTGCGTCAAAGAGAGCACTTACAGCAGCAGCAGCGACTGCTCCTCCAAAGGTCACAAGAACGCACTGTTGCGCCACACAGCCTCGCTCAATTGTTCGCCGATCTACACGAGGCCCGTCAGCAGCAATATTTGCAGACACAACAACGTGCGGACTCCACGACCTCGGCTCATACGTCTGATGGGCGGGTACTGAGGGCAGGGTGGCGTCATCACTGCAGTAGAGTGCCGAGCAGCGGGGGTGGGATGCAGCTGCCGATGCCCCACGGCGTGGCTGATGACGTCGCGGGCTCAACAGCGAAGCTTGATGGAAAGCCATCGGGAGAACAGGTCCCAGAAGGAGACCCTGGTCTGGAACCTCGTCCCTTAGAGGAGGCCCGTAACCAGCAACACAAGGGGGGACAGCTGGGGCAGTACTCAGAAAACCGAAGACAAATACTCCGAGATGCTGGGCTTCTTGATGCCCGTGCGGTGTTGAGTTGCACTATCAGCGCCCTCCGGTTCAGCAGGAAGAGTGCCCCAGCTGCAGAACCAGAAGACCGGGTGGGCAACAGCACCAGCGAGAGATGCAGTGGCAACACGACGCAGAGTGCTAGCGACGACGGGACCGGAAGTGGATGCCCGACACTTTCGCTAGCGGGCGGACCGCCTGCATCAACCACCACCAACGGGGCAAGGAATCTTCCATATGGGTCGCCGGGGAGTAAAGTCATACAGGTTCACGGCCAACCTCTCCCTCTCACTGTTCTTTGCGCTGGAATTTCCCCTGGAAAGTTATGGCTCCACTGTCTGAGGGTGACCCTCCACGCCAGGCGGTGTGCCATTCGAACCCGCCGCTACTGGAAGGCCTTGGTGCATCTTTTCCCTCGCCGAAGTGCATACTCAACCATGGCAATTTTGTCTGAGGATGATTTGAAAAAGTACAGCAGTATCGGCCCTCGAAGCTCCTCATCACGGGACGCGACAGTTGATGTGGGGTCTTGGGCTGCGCCGAAGGAACCCTTTTGCGACCCGGGCCTTTACTGCCTCATCGATGAAGGTGGCCCAATTCTTGCAGCTTGGGCGGTTGCCCAAGACATTCATGGGCGTTTGCGGCGTTGCTCAGCAATGGTGGATTCAGCTGAAGCTGACACGGCTGACGAGGCATGTATCAAGAGGAAACGCTCGAAGTCTACCGAGAACGCCTCGAAATCTTGCACAGCTGAGAGTCTCGGGGGAGCGTTTTCGAGGGGAAAGGAATGCGTTGGAGCCGAAGGACTTCAGGCCCTAGAGAAGTGGTATGTGAATGTGGCAAAGGAGCCTCTGACTGAGCAACAGATTCGAAGCCTCACGTTGGGTAAGTGATTGGCACTGCCGCATACGGCTCTGTAGAGACTGCCTCCACAGACGAAGTTGTCTGTTACTGTCTACCACTCCTGTACTCTTCTTCAACGAAATATCTGGGCTGATGCACGTCAAGAGATCCTTTTCCTTTCCTCACATGGAACTCATTGGACAATTGCCTTGGGGAAATCTGTGGGGCCCTGCGCGTTGGTTTCAGCCTAGCAGAACAAAGTTGCGGGGATGAGTTGCTGCTATACACACCGAGTTGGTTGGCATTTGTGGTGGCGATGTGGAGATATTTTTCTGCACGACTACGTTGGTATACGCGTGTGTGGCAGCGCCTTGTGGTGTTGCATTGCGCAGCGGAATATGCATCGGTATTTGGCAAATATGCCGAGTGCCTGGTGAGCGCTCTTCAGAAACTCGTCGAGACGCGACGCTCACCATCATATGCAAGCAAGGCTGCTGAAGGATGTGGATGTTCCTGTAGCATTTGTGTTGGTCAGCCATGCCGCATACGCCTGGCTTGGCGGCAGCACCTCATGGCCTTTGAGCTCGCTATAGACAAGACGGCGGCGGCACGTTCTCGTTCAGGTGAGCAGACAGCCAGAGTAGCTCAGGCGTACGTAGGGAAGTTTACCTTATTGCACAGGCTGTGAATCTCTTTGAAGCCATTAAGAGCTGTCCAATTTGGTTTTCGCGCACAGAGTCTTCTGGAGAGGAGTCGGTGGAAGCTGGCGGCCATGGGAGAGGACGGAGCCGTCCCGTTCCAACTTTGCGGAGTCAAAAAGGCCACTGGGAGTGGTGTCGTAAGTGCCCATTGGGGTGCCGCATGCAGCTGCACTTGATTCTGCATGAGCTTTACCAGCCGTTGTCGCTAACAAAGCCGGGTATGCGCAGTGCGCTGGCGCAGTTGCTGATGAGGATGAGGCGGTACGTGGCACTGTCTCCGTTAGGGGTTGAGTTCCTGATGCAACGCTTAAAAGAGATGAGGCTGAGTCCTGCCTCGGGAGCTGGCCCTCATGGTGCTTTCAGCGGCACACCAGAAGGGGATGAGGATGAGTTGAACGAATCCCGTTGCAGTTGGGCAACACGGGACTGGGCCCAGGCTTGCTGGCACCGCAGGCAACAGAATTGCCAAGCGGACATTTCCAGCACTCTGATTGGCAGCAACGATCTCGACAGCAGTGTGGCTAGGCTTTCCATGCTCTCAGCAACGCTGTGGGAGGCACCTGCATCGTCTGCAAGGGGGGTGACGGAAACCGGTTTTTCAGCTGACGACGGCGAACCGGAATGGAGAAAACCGATGCCAAGAACGGAAGCCTCATCCAGAGAAATGCAGGCACTTGCTGACGGAATGGCGCGACAGGATTGCCCCAACATGTTGGGGGGGTCTGGTATTCATGCGTTACGAGTATCTGGACTGTCCGATGTTATGGCGAACCCTGATGATGAGGAGGAGGGTGCTAGAAGCCCTCAGTACAGCTACCCTGTTTCGATTGCGTCTTCGCAAGCGCCTTCTGCTTGTAGCACGCCGCCTCGGCAGTCAAGTCGCCCAAGGTTAGGTCGTTGCTTTGCCCTGCCGCGAAGTGCCCATTCCCAGCAGGCGCAGCGGAGTGACGGGGTGTTCGGATATGCCATTTCTGGACCACCTGAAGAATGCGGACTTTCTGCACAGTCAGACGGCACTGGGCGAGCTGGAAGAGGCGGAACCGCAGAGAGTGAGACACCACTTTGAAGCTGTTCAGACAGCCCACTTAGCCGTATGCTGGGTTGTGGCGGGAAACGAATCGATTACTGCACATGCACATGCATAATGCAGGGTGTAGCATTCGAAGTTTTGTTTAAGACTAGTTTTGTGTGGGCGCTCAGGAGATGAGGTGGGGCGACCTGGGCATGGAATAGATGGGTTTGGGGGAGATGCCCTTGACACTTCTCCTCGTAGGCTTCGTCGCATGCACCGGGCGCGTTTGACGTCCGCGGACCAGCAGGCGGCATCACGACGGCGACGAGTGACGCCTCTGGTACCCTGGTGGTGGGAAGATTATGTCAAGACGGGAGCTGGACAGGACGCAGCCAGGCCAGGCCCAACGGGTAGTAAGGGCGATGGTGCTGCTTCCGATAGCTCGTCGTCTGTGAATTCCACCATCTCACTTGCAGCATCACCTCACGTTTTCCGCATACCCTGCAGAAGTGTTGTGGGCGCGTCTTACTCTAGCGCTGAATTCTTCCCTTGGCAGACCAGTGACACCGGAACAGGGGCCATGCTGGCGCGCTTTTCTGAGGCAGTTGACAGCCAGAGCCGCTCCGGGCTGCTTAGAGGAACCGACCAAGCGAGCAGCTCCGTTAGAGGCGATAGTGTAGACCTGTCGGTCGAACTAATTCATGCGGCTGCCGAGCTGGTCGACAGCATAGAAAGCTGGCCCGTTGAATTTGCAGCGCAACGAGCAGGAGTCGCTACGAAGGCGCATCAAGGCCACGGCCTTGCGTTGGGCGAGCGGATGGATGGAGCACCTTCGGAATACGCTCTACCGGCTTCCGAAACATCTGCGTTATCTGCACCGAGTCCGGCCGGAAGGAAAGCGAAGCCTCCGAAAGGCAGCGAAGGAGGCACTCCAACTGCCGTGCAGTCCAGTAACACCGGAAGCATGCTGACATTCGTTTCGTCCGTTTTATCCGCTCCTACGGACAGTGAGGTAGATAGTCTTAATGGCTTCGAGTTGCTGCAGGGCGCTCTGAGGACTCTATTTGGCTCGGCAGGTCCGTTGGAAGGACCACAGTTAAAGGCCATGGGCATGGGGACCAGCGAGACGGCTTTGGAGAGTACGTGCCTTTACTTGCACACACTGTCGTTGTCAAAGGACACAACACAATGCGTCGAGGGGGAAGTGGCTGGAACAGCCGTCCCACTTCGCTCCCGGTAAACGTGCCCCATTGTTGTGCCTGTGTGGATCGGTTGTAGGGACTGCAGCTGCTCAGAAAGGCGGGGCCTTGCGGGCGACTGATGATGCTTCAGTAACTCAGATGCCAGCAAGAGAGGCAGGTGCAGCAGAGGACGGTCGAACACGTATGGCGGAGGCGCGAGTCGAGTCTGTTCAGCATGGCGGCAGTGCACCTGCACTCGATATGAGTGCTACCACTCCGCTTTTGCGCTCCCTTGCTGCGTCATCGGCACCTCCTGTGGAAAATACACAGGGCCAGTTGCTGGTGGACGACTTCTATGCTCGTCCATTGCTAAAAGGAACATTCTGCTACCGGGATTCGTACGACCCTTTCGAGGACTACACTGACGTCCAGATAAGATGTAGGCCATTTCTGTGGTGCACGGCTTATCATTATGTCCTAGCTACAGGTTAGCCGGTCTATTCCCGCATGCGGATCAGGGGAAGTTTCGCTACTGCAGGGCTGCAGAATCATCCGTTGGGTTTTTGTCCTTTCTGCTTCACAGTGAAGCCTATGAGGGCTTTTGGGCTAAGGCAAGACCGCCCCAGCCGTCACAGGAGACGTTCGTGGAGGCTCTCCTCGCAGAGTGCAGGCAGCTCGCCTCGCGGAAGTTCTCCTGTACCTTCTCGCCCGCAGGGCACGAGTGGAATTGGTTTGAGAAAGCCCATTCAAGAAGGCGCGAGGTGGGTTATCCATGCAGATAATTACGTAGAACAACTTAGCAGAAGACGAACAAGCACTCAAGGTCCCTGCCTAATGCACCTCCGGCACAAGGGAACACATGAGTCAATCGTGTGCTGCGAGCGTTTTCTTAGGGGGAGGGGTTTTGGAGCAATGGCAGAACGCACGGGAACCGTGCGGATCGGAGGCAGGCGTGTGGTGGTTAGGACTGTTGATGACGGGGCTAGTTGGGCTTCTCGCGAACCAAGCGCTGGGGGCCTATCAGATTTCTCCCTCTCTCGATGCAGTATGTCCGTGGACTCGAGCATGTCAAGTCGCGGCGTGAGTGTGTGCAGCAGAGCCACGAGCAATGCAGGTTCTGTTTCAGATGCGTCTATCCAAGGCGGTGGTACACCACAAAGCCCAACACCGCACGAAGGTGCACCTCGCCACAAGCGGGGAAGGAGCCGGCCTCCTCCGGGTGGGCGTGGGAGCGGCGGGGGTGGCAATTCCTCCACTCCCACGGGGGTTTATCTGGATGTTGCGCGCAAGCTTTGGCGCTGCCAGTGGAGGGAAAATGGCCGCTTCAAGACGAAAAGTTTCCCGTTGAACCAGTACAAGACTTTGAAAGAGGCACGACGTGCATGCGTTGTATTTCGGTGCCTAATGGGTGGTTGGGAGGTACAGCCTGCTTGGCTGGGTGATGATGAAGGGGGTGACATTGATATGGAGCAACCCGAAGGTTTTTCAGAACCTTCTGGAAATAGTGCAGGGACGGAAGAAGCAAAATCGACAGCCCCTGCTCCTTGATAAGGGTTGCTTTCCAACAGAGGCTTCGCTGTGACTTAAGTTTTAGATTCCCTACGGGAGCTTCCTGCAGTCTTAGGATAGTTTGTGTGGCCGGTTACCGTGCCCCAATCAACGCATGCGATGGGTTTCCACGTTTTTTCACTCTATTAACGTTCCTGGGCAGTCCCCGCATTTCATTTTCTCTCGTGCAACTAGTAGAGCAAATTATTGTTAATGAACTCCTGCATAGACAAAGCGTAGGCAGGCTTTAGGGTGTTGTCACAAGAGTGGTGGAAAAAAGTAGTCACCTTGAAAATAAGCCGGAGTGCTCATTAGGGAGCGATCGGCTGGAGCGTTTGTTGCCGCTTTCGGAAGGAGCTGTTTAGGTCTCCTACTCTTAGAGCATATCCCAAGCTAATGACACAGCGGTTCGACGGGAACAGGTCCTCCATGCATGACAGATGGACCATGGAGCAATTTCGAAAACTACAGCATCAATATTTCTGTAGAGGGGAATGCTGCAGTCCGCTGCATGGAGAGAGCAGGCTGACTTAAAATCAATGGGGGAGAACAGCGATCAACCACAAATACGAGGCAACGGGCCATCAATAAAGATGCAGTAACCACTGGGAGGGTGTCCCCAACCCAGAATTAGGGAGCGAAGCAAACCATTTAATAAATAGATTTAACCGAAAAACTGCATTTTTACTTGAGTTGCTAGAACTGTCGAGCATGGCGCAGTACAGGATTTCTTGTGGGCCTGCTAACGTCAACAATTGTTTCGGTGTTACAACCCTCAAGCTCCCAATCTACTCCAGTGCCCAACGGTTCTGAGACGTCGCAGTTGAGGAGGTCTCGAAGAGCATCTGGTTCCTGTTCAGCTAACGCACTGGAGTCTCCCAGGGGTTCGGGATCTTCAAAATTTGAGGAAGCCATAGAAACAAGCCGGCTGCTTACTGAAGAGTCAGCTCCTCCCTCGAGATAAAGCGTTCCAGCAGTCGTCGCAGTCAACAAATCAGGCAGAACGTCTGGGTTTCGGCAATTAACGGTCGAAGAGGGCCAAGGCTCTTCTTGGCTGCTGTGCAACGTAGGCAGTGCTTGATGCGCTGTTGGTGCGTCTACTGTAAGCCCTCCCACAGAGAGAGCATATGCCTGAGCCAGGGCTTCTGCATAGGTAGCCACTCCGGGTTCTGGGGACTGTTGGGGCTCTCCCCTCTTGCTGTCAAACGCAGTAGGGGGAAGGATAAGCTCTTCTTGGCCTCCTGAGCCGGGAGGTGCAGCTGCGTGCCTTTCAGGTGGGGTTGAAGCAGTAAGCCCACTCCTCCGCACAGCAGTTCTTAAACGAGCTGCCCTCTGACGGCGAGTTGCCACGCCTATAGACGCCTTACGGTGAACAGACCAGTCCTCGTCTTCGTGGGAAAGAGGCAGTGGAGGCGGCTGGCGGGTTGAAACTGCTCCTGCTGCTGGCCTACTGCGTTGATTTCGGCCGCAGGCGTCTACTTGGGGTGGTAGAGCCCGCAGACCAGTAGCCAAAGAAGCAGCAATGCGCTCCTCTAGGGTGGCTGAACAGGATTCCAAGACCTGCTCTGCATATTCATTGAGGTGGATCTCACCAGTGACAGGATCCAGTTCGCCCCCTTGTAGCAAAGCTGCAGCATATTCCGGATTGGACTTGACAAAGATCTTCAACCCCTCAATGAGATGGAACGCTTCATCTGCGAAAAGGGGCCACCCCTGGATTCGGTTGCGCTCTTCTAAAGCCATTAGTCTGGCCCCAAAGAATCCAAATCGGCTAACTGGGAAGTGTTTCTGCACTTGCTTGTTCTGTTCATTTTTCCAGTAAGAAATCCACCGGATCTGGTTGTGATCAAAGGTCAATCCTTGCACTCGAGGAGTGTATCGCGCTAGGTTTCGATACACCTTGCGCTCACGAAGAGGCAGTCCTCTGCCTGTTCTCGCTGGCTTTGGCCGGGCTTCCTGCTCAGCAGCAGCATCGGCGGAGGCAATGTGATCCCCCAAAGCAGAGGCGTCAGGCGTTTCAGCATTTCCTCTAAGCTTCAACATATTGACTAGACAGGGATGGATGTTCCTACTGACGGTTTCGAATTCACTCCCCTGAAGCAGAAGGCGACGGGACAGGGGAGTCCTTAGTGCCCAGAAGAAACATGCAGTGAAGAAGCATGCCAATCCTGAAATCCCCTCGGATACACAGCCCTAGATGGTTGCCTGAAAGCCGTGGTCAGTTGTAGGTGTTTGATACTTTTGTCCCAACAAGAGATCAAGGCACACCGGAGTGAGCTGCAAAAAAGGCTCCAACGCACGAAATCGTGAACGGCCCTTCGCCAACAGCATCTGCTAGGTAGGGAGAAACAACCTGGGAATACTTTATCAAAAAAAGAACCTAACGCAGCGTGAGTTGGCCAATTTAAACTATACAAGGTGCAGTCGTCACTGCGGAACCACGGCCTCCGCATCTCCCATGGGCCAAACCAATGGTGTTTCGGCAGAGCCAATAACGGCCCCACCTACCCAAATACATTGAAACAAATATGGTTTTAAACACATTTAAAATCAGTTGCTCGATCATTAAGAAGACTACACTCTACGACTGCTGTGGTCAGACGATGGTCAAGCCAGCAGAGGCCGGCGGTGAAGGCAGCAGGCGACAGTGTCCCACCGGCTGAAACGCCGCCCAGCTACGGTGGCCACTATTAGTGAAAGTAACCATAATACACCACTTTTTAAATTGAAATGCTCCACAAACATCTGAATTTGCTCACGTTTGTTCCACCGTATACCCGTAATAGCCCATGAAGCCTTCAGGAAAACATCAAGGCGGGAGTCCTCCCAACCGCCGTCTACACGCATTGCGACAGTCAGGCTCTTGGAAGGGGTCATTGTGCCCACATTCCTACATCTATTGATAAATTCGTTAGTAACACAAGAAGCAAAACTAAACAGAACAAGCAGTATTAAACGCCACCTTTTGGGGCGTACGAGTAACGGCTTGTTCCGGGACACGATTAGGTCGAACAGCCCCGAAGAAACACACTGTATTGAATGCACCACCTTTGCAGAAGAAGTTTTGCTTTCCACATGATTAATTTCCCCGATAAACATGTTCCTTGCAACAGACACCGTTGGCCTCTTGGCTCTCCCTGCCGAAAGTGGTGGCGAACAGCGAGACCTTCCGAGGTTTCGTTCTCACGAAACTCAGCATACCTGACTACAAATATTTGAACCCTCTAAGCAGATAAACCCTTGCAATCGTTTGTGCCTGCTCAAACTTAGAGGAGGCAATGAGCAAGCTGCCAGCCATCCCGGGCAGTTCCGCACCCCCGGGAAGAATGAGGTAGCCATTAACGAGCCTGCCGGGCTCCTTGAGTCACGGTGCTAGCCACCTTCTATGCAAGAAGATTGAAAGAAACACTGTATGAGAGGCAATACAATGATATACTTGCGCCAGCTACATCCTTTTGGAGTCCCCGTGGAGCTCTAAAATGGATGCAGACACAGCGCTGAATAAATCACCTGTACCACTCCCGCCACAATACGGCGGCAGAACAACAGAGGGCATAGCATTCAACATCCCTGCTTTTTGGCAGTCAAATGTTCCAGGACGTTCCGTCTCTAAGATAACACGGTAACGCCTGCACGCGTACCCGGGCCTTGCACTGGCGGCAGACCATCTGGCACGTTTGAGTTTGGAAAAAGATAGTCAGTTTAAAATGTTGGGAATCAGCATACATACATCACTTTTTGGACGTTAAGGCAGCGACAGCTCTCGGGACGTCCGCTGTGACAATCAGCTTTCGAAGACAGCGACCCAAAAAGATGAATTCATTTGTTTCCAACAGCAGACAGCCCACTTCCTGCACGTTCGTTTCCAAAGCAGACACAATCCCCTCATACTACATTGAGACAAGTTCTTAAGGCTAAATATACTCCGGCACAAAGGTGCACCATCAACAATGGCAGATGGACACAGAGAAGCTGGAGGCGAAGGAAGGAACAGCTTGCTTTCCTCGTCAAGATGTTCAGAAATGCTAGTTCCGCCGCAACGCTGTGTCACGAAATTCGGATCATTCAAGGCTTAACCAATTTATTCGGCACTGACTTTCCTGTGTATTAATATATATTCTGACGAACAAATACGTGGTGCTATTTGGGGGCAGCTTTAGCTCGCTGTCAGCGAAACGCGCACCTGTGCGAAGGAGCCCTCAGTGCCGACTAGCACATCGTAACAGATGTCCTGTAGAAGCAGAAAAGGACAGAAAATCTCTGGGGAGTATACAATAGATTGATTGAACGTCGGCAGGTATTAGCTACACTAAAAATAGTGACCTGCCACGTTGCACATGACGCACATCACTGTGGAGTGTGTACGGGGTCTGTGGCGGTGCCTGTCGATGTTTATCTTCAGTTTTAGGCTTCATCGAATCCGGCGTTGCTTCTGCTGTTGCGCTTCCCGATGCTTCTGCTGCTGCTGCTGCTTCTCCGCGTCCACGTGCAGCTCTCCTGCGGGAGGCGTCAGTGAGGAGGCACAAGTGCACGCGGCCACTGCGGCGAATGAGCAGTTTGCCGATACGCCCAGATGGAAGGGCGTGCAGTGGTGTAGGACAGTTTCTTCGAGAGCTGCTGACAGGGTTGGAGCTGCTGGTACTGGTGTTGGTAGTGCTGCTCCTGTGTTGGTGCTCCGCTGCCGTCTGCTGAGTCTGGTTTTGCCCATTTGCCTGCTGTGCCTGCATTGCGGCGATGTCCAGAGACGGCAGAAGCTCCGGAAAACAGAGATGCACAAATTCTCTGTACGTACACACAAGAGCACACTGAGCAGAAAACATCGCACAATGAACAACCCACACGGCAGCAACAACATTAAGGGTTGAAGATTCCGAACGCCTATTTTTGCCTGCGAGTACGAGCAGCTGCAGAAGCATGTCTTTTTCTTCTTGTTTGCTGGTGCTGCCTGTCTGGTGATGTCTTGGGGCGTGTGCAGGACGAACGGCCTGCTGTCTTCTTCCCAGCATTCGCCATTGCCGTCCGTGGAGAACTGATCCTTCAGCAGCAGTGCAGCTGGAGTGTCAGCATAGCTATCTTGCTTGAAGCACTGCAGACTATCTTTTCCATTTGTCGGTGGCGCGGCTGTCGATTCACTGCGCCTCAAGTGGTTAGGGGTGGATGCCGCAGTGTCAATACCCTGCAGCTCATCCAGCTGGTGCGGCTGGCTGCAGCTTCGAAACGTCTCCTTGTCTGTGTCCTGCTTGAGTCGCTCTTGCTGCATGCGCTTCTGTGTTTGATGAATGAAAGGGATGGTGATGGGGAGGAACAGGTGGCCCTGTGATTGATCTAGAGCCAAGCCACTGAGGCTAATGGAGCGTGAGCCCTTCTTCTGTTGCTGCTGCTTTGCACTGCTGCTGCTGTTTTGCAGCGATGAGCTCTGCATCTTTGGCGCAGGCGCCGGGCTGAAATGCCGCATCACCGTCCCCGGAAATTTCGGGCGGTTTGAACGGTCTTGGCCCTGCAGCTCACCAAAAAACGAAGACGAAAAGAGGAGTTTGCCAGAAGTTTTCAGGCCAAAACTCTGTAGAGGAGAGGTTACATGCAGCACTACACCCTGCTGTATATACCTCTCGCCTCGTACTGTTGCTGTCTCTGCGTCAGCTCTCGACACCCTGCGATGCAGCTGCAGTCCCAACCCCAAGCGCTACAGCCTAAACCCTAGAAACAAGCAAGGGCATGCCGTCAAACCGGTGAACCCGCCCAGAGCGAGTGAACCCTGCGTTCATCTGCACGCTGTAATAATAAAAAGACTTACTTGGGGGCTCGGTTGGTGACTGTGCAAAGAACGCAGCAACAAGGCATCTACGCTGAAGGCAGTTGCTCCTTGTGCAGTGGACGGGGAGGCGGTTGTCCCCGCGCCTGTCTCCTGCTTGACAGCTACATTCGGCGTGAACTTTACAGTGCTTCTGTTTCCAACAGCGCTGCTGCTGCTGCTGCTTCCCTGAACTGAAGGGTGCGCAAGGTGTTGTTTCAGTCTCGGATCGCGCAGCTGAAGCGAAGGCATGTGCTGACCGGGGCCCCTAGGGATTCGCAGGGCTGCTGCTGCCATCTGCTGCTGCTCGTGCTGCCGCATAGAAGAGAAGCTGCGAACTCGCACTGCGCGTACACCAGACGGAAAGAAGAGAAATCAAGGAGAGCAATTCCTCCCAACTGAAGAGACGTGACACACTTCTGCTACGGCGTTCTTACTGACGACATTGTTTTATTTGCTTAAAATGATATGCTCTCATTGCGTGTAAATAGCAGCTGAGGGGAGGGGAAGCGCAGCAACAAGGAACGGGGCAAGTTGGAATGAATGACTTACAAGGCTCCTTCTTGGTAGGCGGCAGAGGCTGTCTGTTGTCGCAGCTGCCTTCCATGATCTTCTTCTCGTCAAATAAAGTTAAATTCGGATATTCAGGCAGTGGATAGAGAGTTAAGAGGCGTATGCAAAAAAATAAGCCTTAAAAAACTTACTCTGGTGTGGGACTCAGTGAGCTGGCGAGCCGTCCCTCAACTTCTAGTGATGAGCACGCGAACGGGTAGCAACGGCTCTTCGGATAATTGTCATTTCAATTCCTTAAACTTTTCTTTTAGTGCGGGGAGAAGGTCATCACAGCAGAAGCATTAATTTCATTCCCTGTGGGGCACTTGCATGCGCTCCCGAACGCCTAAGCTCGACCTCAAGTTGAACTAACAAATACATATATTTCACTCAACACAACAGTAAATTGTATATTACATTTACTTGTGTCAAGGGTTTATAAGGTTTCAACATTTGCTGGTGCAGCTGCTACGCCATCGTGTGTTTGTTGTGTAGACGAGGCGATAATCTGAGCAGATAACACTCCACCCATCGCCGACCCTTGTGAAAGCCCCTCCTCATTCACAGTCCACGAAGTTATATGAGGAGAAAATTGGAAAAGTGCCGTAAAGCCCACTTAAAAATCTTTGCATATGCTTTCGTATTCACCCTTTTCAGCTCGGGGTGGTGTTAGGCGAGGAGCAAGACACCACCAGGGTGTGTAGGGGCGGCGAAAGGAAGAGCTAGATGCGGATTTTCGCCATCCTATGCGCCTTTTTCGCCTAGTCTCTCTGATTTGTTTTTCCTCTACTTTTGGGCAAGCTTCTTGCTCTTCTAAATACCGCATTTATAGCTTCCGCAGAAAAGACACGCCCGCCGAAATGGTGGCGAGCGGCGCAGCCAGTCATTTATCATAGCTTTTTTTTTCAGTCCTGCCTTTATCCGTGGAGAATGCAAGGCCTCAAAAAGACTACGAAGGAGAAAACTGCACCTGCGGCTTCAACAGCATCGTCGCGGGAAGTGCGTAGTACGAGTTGAGATGCACAGACCCTGCTCGTGCAGTGCAGCTCTCTAGTATCGACAGGCAGTGGAACTGCTCCTGCATTTTGTATTTGGTGGTGGAAGGGGTGAAATTCAGACACCTGAAGGATATAGCAGGTGCATTCGTTTTCTCCTGTACGTGCTCCTCACGCAACTGGCCTTGAATTCGGTGTACCTGCTGGGTGTGTGCGTGAATGCGTGCAAACAGAAACGACAGCAGGAGTACAGCATTGACTACGAGGCCTACCGCCACTTCGCCTTTTTTGCGGGCCTTTTGCTGCGGGCAAACGCTCCCAAGCCGACGAGCGCAGTGGACCTGGTCAAGTGGTGAGTTTTATGGCTGTCGTAGTTGTGTACGTGCATGAAAGACATGTGTATTTGTGTACATTTTGTCGCAAAATACTCAATTGCTCATAAACACACTAATAGGACTGTACCAAGCTACAGCGATTCTCATTCTTGAGCTGGTTGCAACCCTCATCCAGATATTCGGGGTAGTGGGCATGGCGTTGCGTTAATCATTTGCTGATATAGTCTCTAGGGTGGCGCGAATGTGAACAGGTACCTCACGGAGAAGGCTTACTGCGTTCCCAGGGTGCGTCCAGCACGGCGCATGTGTTTAATAAACCAGTTCAATCTGACTTTCACTCTACTAGACAGTGCTGGCATTAGCACATCAGTAGTGCTATATACTTTGGAGAACGAGCTGAAAGTATCCAGGTTGGCTGAACTTTGTCCTGGTTGCCTCTGTTCAGGATTTGTCGCGACCTCTTGTTCCCAACGTGTATACTACTTTAGTTCATAATCTTATCTTGGACTCTTGCGTGGAGGTGCGTACCTCTAAGATAGCAATAATATATGAAAGCTGCGCCCCCGACACGGACGAAATCTTCATTTGCATGTTCTTTGTTCCCTGGCTATTAAAATTCCTCCTGTCTCGTTTTGCTACATCTTCCTGCATCTGTTTGATTCTTGCTGTTGATTCTAAGAACTGAAACATGGCGAAATAATGCAGCTGCAAAGACGCCATTCTGAATGCTTGTTACGCAAACTTTCTTGGTGCTCCCAGCGTAATCGCCAATCTCCTTTGTTGCGCAGGTCGCCCAAGACTCAGGAGAAGATGGTCACCTTAAGCTGCTCCCTAACAAATATTTTCTGCTGTGGGCGTGGAAAGATTTCGCTTTAGACTTCGACGTCCGCATGCGGGCGACCCCTTTTTGACGCAGCAGTGCAGTGCGCAGGCATGCATGCACGCAACACAATGCATGCAGCCCTTTTCTTTGGAACTGCATTCCCTGCAACACCATATTTGATAACGGTCCATTACGTTGTGACAAGAACAAATCCACAACATAGGTGACCGTGACTAGCAATTCTAGCAGCGCACCGCAGTCAACGATGCACTTCATGCCATGCTGCTTCTTAACAGCACTGTAACGGCATTTAGCGGCACCAATTTGTCTTATTTTCCCCCGTAAATATTTGTTGTCACCCTGAGGAAGGAGTAGACGCGCAACGGTACCTCACGGAGCAGCTAGGCAGTCTCTGTAACCCACAGCTGATGAAGCATCGGCGCTAGTAATTTTGCGGAGAGATAAAATAAATCTTCTGTTTTATCACTCATATCGAGCGATGCTTCTCAAGCAGTTGCCCCCGCGCTGTACATTTGATGGCACCTGAATTACTGCACTTTGGTTCCGTGAGTATAGCTGGAACCGCCAGCTTTCCCGCCAGTAACTCGGCATTCCCTCAGTCCTTGAAAAGAAATACTTCGAAGAAGATTAGCATGAGCAACAAATTTATTCATCTAGCTCTGCGTTCAGTGTCGCGTTTCCCCAGCCTTTGTTCGAATTCTGATATTTAGGTGCTACAGCTGAATATGTGACAAAAGAAGTAATAGGCAGTATCACACTTCAACAGTTTTGTGCCAGAGAGCTTCAAACCAATCCAACACACTACTGATCAACTGAAAAAAGCCGGAATAATATGGAAAAATGACATAAACGATATAAAAAACCAAACCACTAGACGGAACCAAAGAAAATTGTTGAATAGCGTAGGCAATCTCCACGCCCCAGGCTGCAGCGGCAACCACAGGCTCCTTGTAGCCCTGTGTTGTGCGTGAGCAGTGCTTTATAAATTCCCCTTAACGTCCTCAAACGCATACTTTAATTGTATTGACAGTCTCTTGCTAATAATTTGCGCACGTTTCATCATCCGACAGCAACCGAGTTGCTGTGCTAACCAACATGTTGGGATAAGCCATCCATTCGCTAGAGGGAATATACAGAAATGTGGAAAAGAAGGCGAGCAGCAATACAGTTTAAGCCGTACCATTAGGCTTCAAACCACAAAGGGCTTGCAGAAAAGTGCCTAGCAAAGATGAGTTGGCGGTGTTGGGAGTTGCCGTTCAGCGCTGGAAAAATCCCGACACCAAATAGGCTGAAGTGCGTTTGGGTTGAAGAGCATTAAGGCTTTAGCAGGTACACCGCATGGAGGCAGTCAAGTGTCTGCAAAGCTGTTGGAGGGAGCTGGTACGACACATTTCCTCCGCTTCTATCTACAGGCTACTTCTTGTGTTTCTTCTTTTCCTTCTTGTCCTTCTGTTCAAACAGACACGCATCGAAAACGCACCCATTCTCCCTGCTGTTCCACCAAAGCATAAAAACGGATTTATTTGGCAGCACAAAACAGAACACAAGTGGGCAAAATTGCGGGCACTAGATTATTCACAAGTTAGCAACAGAGGTGCTTTCTCAGCGTTTCAAGACAAGCCGAATGCAAGGGCTGCTACTAATTTCAGGTTATAGCTCAAGAAGAAAAGCGACTAACTCAACGGCCTGTTCAAACTGGAGTGACAGGAACAATAAGTGGATGCGGAAGAGCTTTGTGCTGGGTCCTGCTCCTCTTCAGCCTCTCACCTTGTGTTTGTGCTTTCGCTTCTTCTCCTTTTTGCCCTCTTCCTCGTTTGATTCCGCAGCGCTCGCTTCGCTTTCATCATCATCCTCTTCATCTTCAAAGTCTTCATCTGCAGAACACAACCACGCTGGATACTCGATATCTAATTCTTATTTTCAGTCTCTCTCGGTGAAGTGCCAACAGTAAGGTTTCGCAACAGAAAATTTCTTTGAGAGAGAAAAATCCTTCCTAACGCTGGGTCCCCTGTTTTATAGGGCTTGAAAAGACATTGCCACCTGTATCGGATTCTTCCTCTCCACCGTAGTCATCGTCATCTTCGTCAGTTTGTATTTCTGCCTCTTGTAGTCCTCCAGTTCTTGGTGCATTTGAATTCTCGACGTTCTTAATGCGAATTCCCTTTTGCGTTAAGAATTCCACTAAGGGCTGTGCGCAAAACACAGAGGGCACGAAATATCATGCATATGCAAGCAGCAAAACCCCGGTTTCCTTGTTCTGCAGAACAACAGATGCTTCCTCGTTATCTACTACAACTCAATGTCTCCAGGCGCTTCATTGCGCTCAACTGCAGTGCATGCCACCCGTGTCAGACCCAGGATTAAGGGCTTTGACTTGTAGGGTTCAAACTAATTGAGAAGCAGTGAATGCCCAAGCCCGTGCTGCTCGCTTACGGTATACTCGTTGCGGTCAATTGAAGTAAATTCATGCTCAACACCCCCTCGGCAAGAAACTGTAAAGGCAAAGAAACGGTTGGTGGTGCTCGCACCCGTTCTGCTGAACTCCACACTCACCACGTCTTCGAATCTGGAAAACAAGAGACAGAAACCAAACTGACAAAAGCAACTAAGCTAAACATGCTTGAAGAATCGGAGCAAATAAAACACAGGTTTGAAAGATAGCAGAACAGCGTGCGACATATGCATACATACGGCATATATTCATGACTGCTTTTGCATAGGCAGGAATGTAGACAGGTACGCAGCAAAAGCATGCGCCACATGCTTGTACGAATGCGTATATAAACAAAACCAATGGAAGAAACAAATTCCAATGCATTCGAACAAATGAATTAACACACCTCACAAAAATGACGGGCTTGACAATGAACAAGAAAGAACGGTTGAGGGGATAAAGATGGCCGCTCTGCGCTCTGTAGCTGCAGGTAATTCCGTATTGGTTTTTGACGCTTTTAAAGTCGCCAGGAACAATAACACTCTTCCCAATTAGAGATTTCAGAATGCGAGTTATCACGTCGAACGTCTTTCCTGAGAACGAAGGTACGAACAGCAGTGCAAACACGCCCAACAAACACGCCGAACAGGACAAATGCATTGATGACACGAATACTGGCCACAATACCAAGGACAGAAAGAAATATGAACCAGGCGCAGTGGAATCATCGTAGCAGCCTCATGGGCATCCACCTGCACAGCGAATTATTAATTGAAAACGCTGAATGCGAGATCATATATGACGGCAAAAAACCAGCAAAAAGCGACGAAAACAACAACAGAACAAAAGACAAGAACAATACAACGGCAACAAACGTAACAGCAAGAACAACAGCAGCAGCAGCAACAACAGTAGCACACATCAACAAGCAAACTAATACACAAGCACAACAAGCAGCAAACAGCACAAGATCTAGTGATCGAAGCATTAAGAGTATACATATAAGAAAAGCACCTGTGCCTAGCCACCTACCTTCAAGCTGTTTTTCAAGCCCCCTTTCTTTGAGTTCTGCCTCTTCTAGATTGACTTCAACAGAAGTGACATTTTCGCTGTCAAACTGCATAACGACAAAAGGATACGATGTCTGTCCCTGTCGCATCGCGTTGTCCAAAGACAAAATAAAATTCACGTGAGGAGAATTCGGACGAGGCACCAGGAACATCCTGCAAGTCAAACATCAACAATATACATACCTACATGCATAACTATAGATATATATGCATCTATATTTATGCATGTCCATAGGTCTTCTATATATACACGTATATACATATGCAAGTACTGAGATCTGCATAGATATAAATACATATAATTACTTTGTGTCTAACGCTCATATACCTGTACGGATGCATGCATGTACGAATGCAATCTGTGGAGATGCAAATGTACCGTATTTGTATGCATTGCAGCATGTACAGGTATACGTCATACACTGTAAGATACACGCAATATAAAATCTTAACACCTTGTAGATATTCTATATAATATGCAAATGGCATACTGCAACTCGATATACTATTATGCGTATAATATATATACTATCGTATGCATCATGTATATGTCTCGCTCCGTGTTGTAATATATTTTCCCAAAGCATCCAAAAGTTCAGAGCGGAGCACACAAATACGGGTTAACAAATGATATGCAGGCATATATATATGCATATATATATATGCACAAGTACAGAAACACAGATAACGATAGCATGCTTAGCCAACGGGCTGTGCAATAAATATACGTATTGAAATATACGCATGCATATGGATATCCATGAAAAGCTGCTCTAAATGCACACCATGTGCTTGTACACTGCACGTAACCTGCCTACGTATTTACATATGTAACTATTTATTTCTGCACCAACCTGTTGATGTTGGTGTAGAGAATTGTGTAGTCGTAGGACTTTCCGTGGAATTTGAGGGCCCTTCTTCCGATATCGATTTCGTATCTTCCTCTAGGCACCAAAAGTGGTACATCATTCAAAAGAGCGATGCTCTCCATCTTGGTCTCTGCTACTCCGCTCTTCTTCACAAGCTTCTGCAGGAAAAGGAGCAACGGCAAACGACAAAGACGAAATCGGTGACACACGCTCGAGGCAACGCTAGCAACAGATGTTGAAATTACACTTTCCCACGGCCAGCAAGGATCAGTACAACTGTGCAGACGCAAAAAGACAACTTCATCATGAGTATAGACGCTCCTAAATAATCAACAAACAAAAATATACAAAATCAACAGGGAACACACTAATGCTTTCTCAAATAAACAGCATTCTGAATCAAAAGAACGAGAGGAACTAAATAAAAGAAAGATTATTAATAATCAGTACAACAAGCACTTATTGTTGTCGAATTAATTGAATTAAACTGACAGTAGTGATTTGCAAAAAATAACTAACGGCAAAAGAACCAAGTGAAGTAAACTAGTAATTAGTTGTAACAAAAATAATTAATCTATTATTAATTAATACAATTAACTCCAGTGCACCGACCTCCTTCAAACTTTGCAAGTGACTGTCGGTTTCGTCATCGCCTGCTGCAGGCTGAAAGAGACGAATCTCGAGCAGCATATCTTCAGATTGGTCCCTGAAGAAACGAAATATTGAAATATCGAAATACTACATGCAAATAACACAAGAACAGTTCTAATGACAAGAGCAAATACAAATACAACCGACATAGTCATAGCACATACGAAGAAATGCAAACATAGTACGCACATGGAGGAAACAAAATCGGGAATCAAATGAGGAAAGCAAATAAGTGGAAGCACAGAAATATAATTTGCATATCTAAACCGTAAACCCTAAAATGGTAATGAGCAAAATAACATATGGCGAAGGGTGAGATGCAAACAATGAACTGTAGAACAGCTCTAAAGGAAAAGAACCACAGGCGATAAATAATGGCAGAAAAATAAACAAGTGACAAACAAAAAATGAAAAACAACAACTAACAAGCAGAAAACGTAATGAGGAAGCCGCTGCACAGGGGGTGGCGAATAGGCATCTAAACCCATGCAAGCAGCAAGCCGTAAATATTATACGGTATTTTGTTACGAACATACTACAATAAAAATCCCAGACAACCCATAAGCTCTGAATACCTAGTGTACAACAATATACTACGAGCCCCACACAAATCGTGGCAAACCCTGTATCCTCAACCCTAATCTGCAGAGTTACCTCGTATCATCTTGAACCAGTTCAATAGCCAAGTCGTTTTTAGAAGGAGTTGTGACTTGCGCGATGTCTTGCGCATTTACTTCAAACGCAGGGCAGCCGTTTACTGACACATTTAAGTTGTTCCCTAAACATAAAACAGCACCAGCGCCGATATAGAGCGGGTAGTTCATCACGGTACGGTTTGTTGTGTGTGTGCATGCATACACATATATACGCACAGATACACACACGCGAACAAACACATATGTAATATAAATACATATATATATATATATGTATGTCAATGCATGTATAGAGTCCATAGATGTGCAGTTACATCTACTTCTGCCTACATTTGCATGCGAGTAGATCCAAGTGTGCAGACGAACCCAAGCGCACCAAGACGTAAAAAACAAAAACAACTTCAGTGCAAACCACTGGTCGCCCTCTAAAGTTAGCAGTGTAGGGACAGAGCAGGAGAGAACGAGAACGTCAGAGTAAAGAACAAGTACAGATGCAAGAAGACACTTGATAACCAGCAAAGACAAAAGCAACGCAACGCTTGAGAAAGAGAGAAAAAAGACGGAAGGAAGAGACAACAAAGACAGATCTAAGACGATCACTCAAGAAAGACCAAGTAACCAAAGGCGAATCGAAGACAACACTGCAGAGGATATCCAAACGGACCATCCATTGAGACGTCCCCCCAGTGCCATCCCAAGTGCGCAATATTCTTTGAATGCAAATTTAACTTGAAATGCTCCGAAAAATGACGACGAATGTCTTCGTAGTTCTGACAAACACAACCAACAAAATGCCATAGAAAACCCCCATACACATGCAATAATTCATCCTTATATATACATATGTTAGAGAGAGACAGACAGACAGAGAGAGAGGGAGGGAGACAAAGAGAGAGACAGAGAAAGAAAGATAGAGACAGACAGAGGCAGATCTACATCACGTCCACAAGATTGCTCGCCCTGAGCAGGAGCCACTGCACATGAAAACGAAGACAGATGACTTTGGGGTTAGTTGAAGGACAGATTTAAGATAAGCCAAAATAGTACGGAAGAAACCTCAGAAAATACCAAAGAGGTCTGCAGCGCCAGCAGTAGCAGCAGCAGCAGAAAGGAGCACGTCTGCACACGGCTGCGGAAACGGTGCAGAAGGGAGACAGGAACAGCATCACCACTTTTGGTTCCATCAGAAGTGCCACCAGAAACGCCAACAGCAGCAGTGTCTATGAGTTGCAGTACCAGGAAACAGTGAAAGCAGCAGTCGATACAGGAGTCAACGATTAGAATCTCACCACAATTATTACAATGCGGACAGGCCTTTCCCTCCTTACCTTCTTGTGGAATCCGTCAAACATCACGATGCTGTCGTTCTTATGGGGGCCCAGAACAACCTTAAGCTGATAATGATCTGGTCCGCAGTGTATCCACTGTGCATCTGCAACATCAGAACTCTTGTATTGGTAAACCTTTCCGTTTCTTCTGTTCTTCCAGCCAAAAATCTCCCCGCTCATTTTAAAAAGACCCTGTGGTAAACGGGAAAAAGACGAAGAAACGAGAAAATAAGCACAGGCAGCTGACATACACTGGACGCATGCCTTAAAGTGTGCGTAGGCCCGCCGAAGGCGCAGTTGTCTGCAACTACGGAAGGTGTATACGCAGCTGAATACAGCATTGTCCGCGCAATGAATGAAACAAGAGAAGCTAAATGCATTAATTCATTGTTGTATTCTTACAGGATCATTTCTCCCCAACCCCCGAATATTCGCAACCGACACGACCGGCCCACCGGGACCGCCCGGTGGCGTGCCTTGTGACATTTTCGTTGTATGCACAGTTGAAGCTTCTTTGATTAAAAATCCTGCAGTATCTGCAATCCCTCAAATGGCAGTTCTATTTCGCTTCCCGCAGCATCGATGGCGGCCGGCGGTCGAGGGCTGCATGCATGCAGGAGCGCGAACCGACTGCAGCGGGTGAAGGACAAAAAAAGCAAGAACTGATGTCTTGAAATTGCCTTTAATTTAATAAACTAAGTAAAAGAGAAAACAAGAATGAACAAGGTGTACACGCAGACACCAACGCATTGTGTGGCTTTGCCGCATGCAACAGCCGGGTGGTAACGCAGTGGGGTGGTAAACAAACAAATTCAGAGCAATCTAACGCATGCGTATCGAAAAGAAGGCAATTTTTCTCCTCATTTAAAATGAATAATTGCTTATGCGTATACTTCTTACTTTCCTTTCCCATTAGATCACGGAAACATTCGCTGTCTCCTCTGGGGGGCTGATCTGGTCTTCCCCAGCGAGGCAGGGGAACAGGCCCGGGCAAAACTAAGAAATATTAAGCAAGGTAAGCTGTCCATAGAGCCTTGCATCGAGGAATATCAGCCCTTGGTGAACAGAAGTCCAACGGTGGATTCAGAATTACCATGTTATTGATTCCTTGCAGGGCTGCTCCCCGCAGGGGGGTAATCCGTAGCCAGCTGAGCATGCACGGTTAAGGGTTGTGATTATAGAAGTTATGCGTTAAAGAGAGATAAAACGCCATATCCACCGCCATAGCTACGAAATAAGGAAACGAGTTTGGAAATAACTCCGATATTGAACCGAAGGATAGCAAAAGGCTGCTAATTCCGGCCCCGCCAAAAAAGCAATAATTGACAGCAGCCAGCGAATTCGGCTCTTAGGACACGGGGAGGAAGTAGCGCGCAGCGCATCTGATTCTTTCGCAATAAGCAACGGCACACAACTCAAAAGTGTAAGCGTATATGGAGAGGGCTGCGGAGATGGAGAAACCGGATTTCGGAGCAGTGACGGCGCCGAAAGAGGTGATATCTGCACAAGCAGATCCGCCTCTACTTAGCTACGTGCTAATTCAAGTCCTGATTAATGCTCAGGAGTTCTAGCGCTACTTGCCGCAGCTTAGGAAGTGGACCTGATATCGGAAGTTATGACGAGAAGGTGCAACCTACCCGTCTATTTTTTGAGCAGTCTCTGCGACTACGCTTTCAGGATGGCATAGAAGACACGAAAAAAAGCAAAAAACCTGTGCACAATACGAGTGCAATTCAAAAATGGGTCACAGCACCACGACGCGGGGCTCCTATGCTGGGCAAGATCACCATGACATTCTCTTAGGCATGCCGCTGGCAACCCATCTGCAGCCCCCAGTACACATTATTGAGGTCTGCGCGAAGGAATTCACTGAGATACTGGACCTTTCAACTCCCCCACTGGCAATTGAATCCTCTACAGTAGGGCGAGTGGAAGAACTGATGTTAGGCCTGGTTGTTGAAAGCCCTCGCCGGATGGTTGCAACTTATGACTTCCATGCACTGATTGCAGTAGCGCGGGCACGCATGAGAAGAGGACAAGAACGCGAGGATCCGGGAAACAACGTTCAGCAGTCACTTCCAACGCAGGCGACTTGATCTTTGTGGATTCACATGCTCTCCGAAATGCGTAGGAGGGTGAGCAGCCGAAGAAGTTTGCCTTGCGTGGGGTAGGGTTATTTGCCTCTCGGGTTCGGGCGCTAACATACTCACCATCATTACTCATCGTCAAAAACGGCCTAGGCAGGGCTTGATTAAGGGGCTGCCCCGACAGTCGCGGGAGTGAGAAGCGCGGCGGAACTTGGGCCGCATACAGTTATGTGTTAACAACCGGTGTGGCACATGAAAGCGCATCTATGTCTATATCTAGATGGTCTTTGAAATCTGCAACTCGTCTAGTTCTGAAGACCGTTATGCAGATAAGCAATTGCTTTCAAAATTGGGTTTTGCCGCATGTGTAACTTCCAGCAGACCAGCATCCCTACTCTGGGCACCACGGGATGTTAACAAGTCCTATTCACCCAAGGACTACTGCTGTTCAGCTTTTTGAACAAATGCTTGCAGACAGCACTTCTACTGTCGTAAGCTTACTGGGTATGGGATGGAATTCACTGCGTGAGCCGCTGTCCATGCAGTCTCAAGTTGGCTGAGCTTTGTCCAGGACAAACTGGTAGAAAAACTAGGTAGCATCGAGCGTTCTGGCGGCAAGGCGTTCATGGAGGCGCCGCTGGGGGGACGAGACGTATCTATGTTTGGGCAGTTTGGTGTCGGCTTGTACTCGGAAGGTGCTGCGTGACAATATTAAGGGAGTAGCCAAGCCTGTTATTCGTAGTCTTCCTCGGAGAGAGGTGCTAAATCTTTCTGTTTCATGCACGTGGTGACCAGAAGTATGCTGTAAGCTTTCCTTGGCAATAGGACTCTGGCACCTAGACCGAGCACGGACGCATGATAACCGTTAGAGATCATCTACATGGCCAAGAAAGAAGGGCCTCATCCAGTGAGGTTTTGGCAGGTAGATCAAACTTCTCAAGTCAACGAGAGAAAAAAGGCAACGAAAGTCAGAGAGATCACACTCCAATGGTAAAAGCCGAATATGCATTAACTTCCCGTGATGTTTAACCTCGAGAAGGTGATAGAAGAAGAAATCACCTCTTTTTACAAGTCTTCGGTCAATGGCTGGCAAGAACACTGGGCGGTGTCACATTTGGGCACCTGGAATTCAGCCGCTGCAGGGAGAAAGTAGACAAAGTCGTTCTCAGAATCCCCTTGCGTGCGTCAGAACATAGAGTTCGCCTGGACTGCCAACAGGGAATGCATAATGGAGACTCACACGCTGCGAATCAAAACCACGAAGAGCTCCACGTGCAGCTGAATGAGACACTGGATGGGCGGAAGTAGGAGACAATCACGAAAGCAATGCAACAACATTTACACACGAACAAGTTCACGAAAGGGAGTAACAGATGTTGCACGGTCTGTTTGAAGTTGGTAGACGAACACGTACTCGTCCTTAATAAAAGACTGCGCGCATGCAGAGGTATAGCAGTTGCCTACCGTTCTCGTGCAGGCAGCAAAGGCGTTGCATGTGAAGGTGCTGTTCAGCATTGGTTACACTGAGGTGCGCTGCAACACATGCCAGGCCACCTCCTCTCCCCCTGATTGGAGCCTCTAAATCGCTGTACCGAGAATGTCTGGGGACGAGAAAGGAGGGCAGCTGCCTCTCACTAGCTCTTGCCTTGAGTCTTTGTCTCCGCTCGTTTGCCGATTACGAAGGTCGTCCGTTACAGCTTGGGTTTGATAGTTTAAGGTCTATCATTACTGCACGCATTAAGCAGAAAAGCCCTATAATTTCTACCTATGCCAGAGCGTCTTTGTCTATGAGTTCGAAGCCCGCGACTGTACCCCCGAACCTAACCCTAAACACTAAACCCTAGACACTGGGAACCACCAATGGCTACCGAAGGGGCTGTGGAGATCTGTGGTAAGGTTATTGGTTTGTGAGGAGTTGGTAGACAAGGAAAATGCACGAAAATGAACTACTGGCAGTGGGTACGCTTCTGCTGCAGCTAGCCGAGGCGTGGCGTAGTAGAAGGTGGGGGCGAAAATTGTGTTAATGGCATATTATCGAGGCCCGTTTCATTAAATACAGTGGGGGGTTGCGTTTAATAATAATAATAATAGACCATTAGCGTTTTTGCAGCAAAAGTTTCGCTGCACGTACAGCGCAGCAGCAACTGCTGCTTCGGCCCCCCTGCAGCAGAGTCTGCAAAGATAAGGCAGAAAACGAGCAATTAAACTTATTCATCCTGTCTTTTAATGTTATTTATGAACGCCTGCTTCTTAGTACCAAATACCACCTCCTCACCTGGTCTTGCTCCTTTACCCAGCAGCTGCTTGCATGCATAAGAGCTGCAGATACACCCCAGCTGCTGCCTCCCCTTATGGCGCCTTATTTCCCCCTAACCACGCTGCCCCTATCCTCCTTCTTCCCATGACAGCAGCAGCAGATTAACCTCCTGTACACCGAGGGGCCCCCCTTGTAACCCCAGGCCCTGTCGCTGCCCCCCAAGCACAAACAAGGGTGGCGTGGGGGCCCCTCAGAGGCTCTGGGGCTAGGGGGCCCCGGGGGCCCCCCTCATGCCAAGATGAAACGCCCGCTGCATGCTGTAGACCTCAAGGCAGGTGCAGCAGCACCAGGGGGCCCCCCTCCTCAGGCAGCCATGCTACCCTTTGGGGGACCCCTGGCATCTCTGAGCCCTGAGGGGCCCCCGGGGCCCCTCGGGAGTCAGCTGTACCCTTTAAAACCCCCTGGTATATGTGAGAGGGAAGGAGGTGGAGGCCTGGCTTCCAAACTGCAAAGGGGGGGGGCCCCTCCCTCTCCTTGCAGCCGCAGCACTGATGTGTACAGACACCCCAGCTCACCGCCTCCTCTTCCTCCTGGAGCTGAAGTTATTACTGTAGAGGACGACGATGAAGAATTGCCGCCTCCTGCTTCTTCTGCTGCAACAAGTTCCTCTTGTAGCGCCGCCCAGCAGCGCCAACTGAACGGCACCAACAGCAGCAGCGACAGCAGCAGCGACAGCAGCAGCAGCGGGAGCAGCAGCAGCAGCGGGAGCAGCAGCACCACCGGGAAGCAAGCCAGCACCGGAAACGGCGTTGTTGAAGATGCAGCGGTTGGTAGTGATGGAAGGCACAACAGCAGTAGCAGCAACGTTTCTTCGTGTGCAGGATCTGCTGCTGTGGCAGCAGCAGCAGCAGCAGTGTGCGCTGCTGCTGGAGCTTCTGCTGGCAGTGTGAAGCCCTTCAGCGGAGCCCACAGCAAAAGCATATGGGTGCAGGGGCGGCAACGACCTGAGCAGCTGGAGAGGCATTTGTTAGATTTGCATGCAAAAGAAGCAGTAGGGAAGGTGTCTTTACGAAATGCAGTGTTTCCTTCTGCTGCAGCAGCAGCAGCATTTATGAGGGCTGTCTCGCAGCTGCCTCGCGTTACCTCCTTAACTCTTACTGCTGCAGAGATGCCGCCTGAACAGTTTGCTGCAGTTTGTGGCGTTCTCTCCTCTTGTCGATTTTTAAATCACGTCGACTGCAACGCAATTGGGAGCCAGCCGCTGCGTGCTGCAGCGCTGCAGCAGCTGCTGCAGCAGCTGCAGCAGCTACCGGATTTGCGGGAGCTGAATCTGTCGGGGAATGACTTTGCTGCTGCTGCTGCTGCTGCAGCTGCTGAGGAGAGGGAGGTTGGGGGCCCGCTCCCTGATGCATTTCAGCTGCTTAAGGGCCTCCTGCTTAGTGGAGTTCTCTGTCTACTTGCACGAGAATGCGGTATCAAACAGCTGCGACAGCTGCTGCTGTGGGTTCTGAATTCTTGTCATTGTCTTCGTATACGCCAGCTAGATTTAGGTGCTTCTTCTAAGCTTTTAAATTCCCTTATCCCTGGGGAGACGTTTGATGAAGAGGTGAGGGAAACCGAAAAAGAATTCATCTCTATACACTTCTGTTGCCGATCACAAACAAAAGAAATGCCGTTCGTCTTTTACTGCGAGTTTCTCTGTACATACACCACGAAAATACATTTTATATACATATTCTATTCACAACAATACACACATACACCTTAACGCTCCTTTTTATTCATTAACTAATTCAATACAACGAACGTACATTTTAAATATATATTTTATACACAACACACGCATAAACACCCAAAAGGGTTGTACTATTACCAATTCTTCTTCTGCTTCACCATCCTACAAACTGTGGGAACAACTCAGCAGAAGAACTTGCAATCCAAGGGACCCCCAGGGGCCTCCAGGGGCCCCCTGGGTTCTCGGGGTCCCCCGGAGGGGACCCAGGGGCTTACAGGGGCCCCCCGGGAGCCTCGTCGCATTTCGAATGCCAGGGAATTGAGTGCAGTTTTCCGGGTGCCCCGCTGATCTCTTCTGGGGCCAGGGAGCCCCCAATAGGGGCCCCCTTGCCCCAGAAGAAAGGCCCGGCCCCCTTGCCCCAAAAGAGGGGCCCCTGCGGGGCCCCTGGTCTTGCTGTTGCGGGCTGCTTTGATGCCTGCTTAGCTGCTTTCGTTTCAGGTGTATATTCAGCTCGTTATGAGGCGCAGGCACCCGCCTGTGCTTCGCTGCTTGCGATTGTGCTGCTGCTTGTGCTGTTACTGCTGCTGTTGTTGCTGCAGCTGCTGCGTCGGGTGTCTCGACTGTCGAAGGCAACGTGGCGGATGGGCAAAGTAATTGGAGACTACGCGCCTTCCTTCCGAGGTATAGAGCAGCAGCGGCAGCAGCATCAGCAGCACGGCAACTCAGCCGCAGCAGCGGCACCAGCAGCCGCTGCTGCGGCTGCTGCTGCAGCCGGAGGACGTCAACCCGAAGCAAACAGCCGCTGTCGTTGTTGTTGCTGCCGCTGCTATGTTGGTTTGCTGCAGCTGTTAATCTGTGGAAGCCTTATATGGCGCAGACCTTCTGGCTGTACTGCCTGCTGGATGCGATGCTGGCTTCGAGTGAAGGAGCAGCAGCAGCAGCAGCAACAGCAGCAGCAGCAGACGGAATACCGAAAGAAGGGGGGGCAGCAAGAGCAGCAGAAACCTCGTCTTCGCAACTCCAGCAACCTGGTGCAGTGGGGGCGCCCCAGCGCTTACCTCGTACGCTCGAGGCCGATGCTGCCGCTGCCGCTGCTGCTACTGCTGCAGCTGTTGCTGCGCCTAATGGTGCTGCCACTGCAGCTGTTGCTGCTACTGCTGCTGCTGATGCTACTGCTGCAGCTGCTGTTGCAGCACCAGCAGCTGCTGCAGATGTTGCATTGATGTGTGTGTGGCTGTACAGTTATTCGAGTGTGGGGTGTCCCCACAGACCAAACCGTCTCCAGCCCTTCCCACGCCGCGTACTTCAGGTAGGAAGCAGCAGTAGCAGCAGAAGGCTGCTGTTGCTTTGTTGCCGAGAAGCAGGAACAGGAGCAGCAACAGCAGCAGGTTGCTGCAGCACTGCTGCCGAAAGGCAGGAGGAAGTTGGAGGAGGTGCAGCAGCAGCGGGAGTTGCAGCAGGAGTAGCAACAGGAGTAGCAGCAGGAGCAGCAATTGGCGTATCTGATTCGCATTTGTTTTTTGCGGCCTAGGTATGGATATCTAGTTGCGCGGCTGGGGGATCGCTGCCTCGTGCGGTGGGCGTCAGTGGGGGCGTTTGCTGCTGCAGTAGAAGAAGACATTTCTGCATGCAAACAAGCAGCAAGCGCTGCTCCGCCTAACCCGCAGCAGCAGCAGCAGCAACGGCAGCAGCAGCAGCAGCAGCGGCAGCAGCAGCAGCGAGGATCTGCGGGCGGCAGGACCTCTGCTCGCCTCGCTGGGGTTGTGGGTGGAGGCGCGACGCATGCGGATCGCCTCACTGATACTTTTGGGGCTTTCGATGCATGCGTTGAGGCTGCAAGGGTAGAGCCTGCTGTCTTCGCGTTCGCAGCTTGGAGACAGCAGCAGAAGCAGCAGCAGCAGAAGCAGCAGCAGCAGAGGTGGCTGCAGCCGGGGCAGTGGGTGGAGGTGCTGGCAGCTCGAACAGAAGACAAACGCTTTTTTTACTCCTCTATTGGTGTTGTTCAGCAGGTGCGTCTCACGTTGCCTTTAGGTCTAGTTTGTTTAGGGACCTTCTGCTTTGTTTTGCGTTTTTGCTGCTTTGCTTGTTTTGCTTTTGTTTGTTTTTTTCCTTATCCTTCCACAGCTATTAATGGTGCTGTCTCTGTTGCTGCTTTATTTGTTGATAGTGTTTATTTCTTTTCTTCGTGTTTTGCTCTCATTTTTATTATTCTTTTTATTGCTGCTGCTCGTTTATTGCTTGTTGTTTCTCTCCGTTCTTTTTAATCGCCTCCTGCCTCGTTCTTGTGGTTCCTTGTGCTGCACCCTTGATGTGAACAATAATAATAGAAAATTAATAATTGTTTTTTTTATGGTTGTTGCTTTTGTTTATTTCTGTTTCTTTTTGCTTGTTTTTGCTGTTGTTGCTGAGGTACAGGTGGTGGCTGGAGGAGGCGATGCACCGTCTTTGCTTTATCAGGTTGAGTGCCTCGGTCTTCCTCCTCGCTCATTTTCTCGTTTTTCTTTAGGGGTTTCTGCTGGTCCTGCTGAGGCTGCTGCAGTGCTGCGAGCGACATGCAAAACGCTGCTTGTGCAGCAGCAGCAAATACAACCCCTTGCTTTTCTGCTGCCTGGTGAGGCATGGGAGTGGCAGCAGCTGCATGCAAGGTGGGGGGAAGCAAACTGTGTGCAGCTGCCGCATGCATACGGAGTCGATCTCAAAAACACCAACTATGGTGAGTGCATGCACCAGCAAACAGGCATGCACACACGTGTGCGTGCATGCATGCATGCATACATACATGCATTCGCTTGCTTGCATGCTAAGGCATGCATAAGAGGCTTTGAACGCATCTTATTCCCGTGTGTTACGCATGCATGTGTTGCAGTAGCAGTAGCAGCAGCAGCAGCGGCAGCAGTACAACCGACCAACTGCTGCAGCACGAAAGGAATAATTGTGGGGGCCATGGCCGCATTTGTTTTTGGGTTTTGTTGTTTTTTCATTCGGGTTATAAGAGGTATAATTGATTTTTTTGCATGCGCCGATGCTGCGCTTTTTCTGCTTTCAGGGGGGCGGGTGGTGTACGCACTCTCGCCTGCCACCCGCAGGACCAATGGTAGCTTAGGGACCTCTAGCAGCAGCAGCAGCAGCAGCAGCGGCTGCGGCGAGGCGTCGCCCCATGTGGCGAAGGCAGCAGCAGCAGCAGCAACAACAGCAACAGGGGCAGGAGCAGGCGTTGGTGGTGCTTCGCGTGCGCACATTGAGTTGAACTGCCAGCAGCTGGAGTTTGCAGCGAAGCATTTGCTGCACCCGAGGCAGCTGTTTTGTCGCTTTGGGCTTGAGGGGAATGAGACAGAGGGGGGCCCTGCAGAGACCTTCTCATCTCTTGGTGTCAGTGAGGCCCCGCCTCTTCTCTCTCCTCTTCTTTTCTCTCCTCTCCTTTCTCCTTCTGTCTCTAAAGGAGACAGAGGGGTTGCCTCTCGGCCGGCTCAGGGGAAGGAAGCGGCTACGGGGCTCACACCCAACAGCAGCAGCAGCAGCAGCAGCAGCAGTTCGGCTCAGGGAGGCACAGCTTCTCCTGCTGGCCGCAGTCGCTTGAGAGGCGCCTCTGAGGAGTCAGCAGGCAAACAGAGTGTCAAGGGTAACAGCAAAACGAGCGAGAAAGCAGCAGCAACAGCTGCTGCTGCTACTGCTGCTGCTTGTGACTCTACTTCTCCTAAAACAGGTTGGGCCTCCCCTAAGGCACGGAAGAGGTTGCTGCTGCACTCGTCTCTGAAAGAGGAGAAGAGGCTGGCAGCAGAGGCCCTGGGGGGCTCTTCGGCGCTGCTGCTGCAAGGCAACGACGCTCAGCTCCCACCCAGAAAGAAACAACAAAAATGCAACAGAAACGCACAAATTAAAGCTGCTGCGGCAGGGCCAGGCCCCCCCGATCCGCTGGTGCAGCAAAATAGAGGAACAGGAAAGAAAACGCTGCCAGAGGCGTCGGTGGTGGTGGAGCTATCAGATGAAGAGCAACAGCAGCAGCAGCAACAGCAGCAGCCGAAGCCGCCGCAGCAGCAGCCGCAGCAGCAGCTGCCGCAGCAGCAGCTGCCGCAGCAGCAGCTGCCGCAGCAGCAGCCGAAGCCACAACAGCAGCAACAGCAGCAGCAGCAGCAGGTGAGCAGCAAATCTTCTGTATCGTCAGCAGGGGATAGGGATGAGGAGGAGAAGGTGAGCAAAGAAGGAAAGGGAGAAAGCGAAGAAAATACTCCATTGGGGCTTTTGCTGCAGCAGCAGCAAACTGCAGCAGAAGAGGCCTCTATAGACACAGCCTTGTGGCAGTCAGAGCGCCTTTGTCTCCGCTGTCGCATGCCCATACCAACTCGCCAACGCGCAGCAGCAGCAGCAGCAGCAGCAGCAGCAGCAGGCGCAGATGCAGCAGCAGCAAATGCAGCAGCAGGTGCAGGTGCAGCAGCAACAGACGCAGGTGCAGCAGCAGCAGATGCAGGTGCAGCAGCAGCAGATGCAGGTGCAGCAGCAGCACCTACTGCTGCAACAACAGCAGCACCTGCTGCTGCAACAACAGCAACAGCGGGAGTGCCCTCCTGGTTTGGAAGGGGCCCCCCTGCTGCCGGAGTGCGGCGGCGATTTCGGGTGTATGTACGGCGGATAGGCGCAGAGAAAAGGAGACGTGAACAACAAGAAATCAAAAGTCTCCTGCACGACCTACAGCTGCCGATACCCCCACTTTCTACAGACTGCACGTACACCGAAAACAGCAGCAGCAGCAGCAGCAGCAGCAGCAGCAGCAACAGCAGGAAGCAAGATTACGATCAGCAACAAGAAGCCTTCAAGCGTTGCGTACAGGTCGTTGGCGGAGTCGCCGTCCCAGCGGCCTCGGTCGCAGAGAAGCAAATGAATTCTCTCCGCAGCAGCAGCAATAGCAGCAGCAGTAGTAGCAGCAGCATTAGCAGCAGCAGTAATAGCAGCGGCAGTAATAGCAGCAGCAGTAATGGCATCAGCAGTAGCAGCAGTAGCAGCAGCAATATCAGCAGCGGCAGCAGCTCAAGCGACGCAGCAACAGTTGCGGGCGTTAGGGGTGCGGCTGCTGAGGAGAGCGGCAGCAGCGGCAGCAGCAGCAGCAGCAACATGGCGAAGGGGGACGACGGCCATTGTTCCTTAGAGCAGGCCTGCTGCTGCTGCTGCAGCGGGAGCAGCAACTGCTTCTGCTGCAGCAGCAGCAGCTGCTTTTGCTGCCACCGCCGCCTTCGTTTCTCTAAGGCGGAGTATCACTCCCCCCAAGGCCCCGCCGACTGTCCTGCTGTAGCTGCAGCAGCACCAGCACCTGCAGCAGCTCCTGCAGCAGCAGTAGCAGCAGCACCTGCAGCAACTCCTTCTGCAGGTGCTGCTTCTGCAACAGGAGCTGCTGCAGATGCTGCTGTTGCTGCTGCAGCAGAACTGCAGCTGAGTGCTGATGAGTGGGCCCTTGTGACTGCTGCCTTGGGGCTGCTGGCGCGTCGGGGCGTCGTTGGTTTAATTGCTGCAGATACCTCTCCTTCTTTTTCTTCTTTTTCTGTTGCTTCTTCTCCTCATCTCCGTCTGCTGCCACTGCCTGGCCTCCGCATTGCGCCTGAAGGAGCGCATGCAGCGGAAGCTCCAGCTGCGCATGCAGCAGCGGCGCATGCAGCCACAAGTATGGCAGCAACAGCAGGTGTAGATGAAGAAGAGGCGCTGGAGGAGGTGCGGCGGGTATTAGAAAGGCGCACGAAAGACCCTCCCTTTTGGGGCTTAGGCTTGCAGCAGGGTAGAGACAGCAGCAGCAACCCGGAAGGCGGAGATGCTGCTGCATCAGCAGCAGAATCAGCAGCAGCGGGAGCTGCTTTACCAGCAGACGATGTGCTGTGTGCGAACTGTTTAGGAGAGGGCTGGGTGTCAGAATTGACACTCCCTCGCCTCCTTAACGCCTATAGAAGCGAACACATGAATACCACATGCAGCGCGCGTGCATGCAGCAGCAGCTCGGGGGGTCGCTGCAGCTGCCGCGGGGCGGCAGCAGCTAGACGCAGACGGCCGGGAGCAGCAGCAAAACCACAAGTATTCGGCTGGAGCCGACATAGTGCTTTTCATGGTATTGCTGCTGCTGCGCATGCATGCAACATAAGCCAAGCTGACGCTGAGCAAGCATACAGCGAATATGCATGCATGCAGCTGGAGCAGCACCTGCACTAAACAACGGCCGCACGCAAAGCTGCGGGCTGCTGCTCCTGTTTCCGCTGCTGCTGCGGCAACCGCTGCTGCTTCTGATTTTGCAGTGCTGCGGCTGCTGCGGTGGCAGCAGCACCTGCTGCTGCTACTGCAGCAGTGGGTGCACCGTATCTGGTGGGGAGGCCTTGGTGTGGGAAATAGACACAGATTCAAGTATCCAGAGTACATTCCTAATAGTTACTAGGCTCTCAATATATATATAGTTTTTTATATGTACATCTAATTACTGTAGATGCTGCCATTTGCTGCTCGGAGAGGCGTGTGCCAGCTACACTGCCAGCTATACCTACTTTGACAGATTTATCGGAAGTGAAGAATAGGATTTGAGTGATGTACGATGAGCAGCCGAAGCGTATGAGCTGGATGTACACCTTATTGTCTATTTAGTATTTTCAGCAGTAACGCCAGCACGCATGCTGTGGTTAACCAGCTTATTTTACCCCTGCAGGCAAACACCGCGGGTAGCTGTGCATGCGCAGTTTCTCTGACTGCAGGGTGAAGATGAAGATGAGTAAGATCACTAAGCGATGAATTAAAACACAGACACTCGCTTCTGTACACTTGGGGTAGGCTAAGCGCTGCCGTCGGCGGAGGTAATCAGCAGGCCTAGAGGGTTTATTTGAATTCTGTGTTTCACATAGCTGGTGTATTTTGGATTCAACGCACGCTTGAGGATTTACGTTGCATTCAGTTCAATAAAACAAACGGTCGCCGACCTGTGCAACTCGCGGTGACTGGCTGGGGGGAAGGGCGCGACAGCGGATCGTACCCGGGGAATTCTCAGGTTTGCTTGCGGAATATAGAATAAATGATACTTCCGACGTTTTCGAACGAAATATTCAGGAAATTAAACGCAAAAAAAGTATTTTGTGGGGCACGGTGGCGGCCGCGACGGCTCCGGCCGACCCGTTCGGGTGTATACGCAGGTGTTCAGAAACCACGGGTTTTCGCAGCCTTTGGAACTTATTGCACATATGGGTTATAAGAGTTGTTTCTTTCATTTTTATCCCTGAAACATCATTTCATTCATGAATATCCGCTTATGGAGCAGCTTTCCCCCTTGCACGCGAAGGATCTGAAGCGACTGAACGATCAGCGGCGACAGACAACAGACAACAGACCGAGGAAGCCGTGCCTCCGTTGCAGCAGCTTCCTTAGAAACCCTTAACAGTCAACCCTAAACCCTAGGCAATTTAATACAAAATTGGCGAATTCTTTTTCTTCTAACCGCTCGTTTGCTGCTGCGATCAGCAGCAAACGCCGCCTGTCGGCGCTCCACACGCAAAGCACCGCATGCGCTTTGTCAGTCTGCTCGAAACAAACTCGCTGCTGGGGTATACAGCACACTGTTTGCTGCGGTGTACATACACCTCAAATTCATCGTCTGGCGCTGGCTCAGTGTCCTGGAGAGCTGGCGCGGTCACACACGAAACTCCATTTATCTTCTGTTAGGCCGTCGCATCCAACCAGAAGCATCTGCGTGCTGCAGCTTCAGCCAAAGGGTTTAGGGTCTAGGGCTTAGGGTTTTGAAGCAGTGCAGCCTCTGCACGAGTTCTGAGGGGCCTGCAGTGGTGCGGCGGGCGCCCCGAAACCTAAACCCTAAACCCTAAACCCTAAACACTACGCCAAGATGATTCAAGAGCAGGAACAGGAGAAGCTGCTAGAGGAGGCCTCGGCAGTTGTCAGAGAGCAAGGCTGTTACATGAAGCGAGCCATCGTAAGCATTGCATCTCCCGCGTTTTTCCCCTTCTAGATGCATATTTTTGTTGTTGAGGCCTTGACGTTGTATTATTCTCTCCACATCACTTTGTAGTTTTGTCTTGATGCTACACAGTGTTAATACACCGCGTTCAAAGCTGCAATGTATCCGCAGCTTCTTCAGTTCGCAGTTGAGTGTATTGGGTTTGTGATTCGCATGATATTGCCAACGCTGCGAATACACCCGAGACCCGGTCAACCCTTTTCGGGTGTATCTGCAGCTCTTACTGTTTTCAGGATAATGACAACCTGAGAGATGCCTTAAAACATGCTTCCAACTTTGTCAGTGAACTGCGGACGTCTCTGTTGTCGCCGAAGCATTACTACGAGCTGTGTAACCTAAACCCTAAACCCTAAACCATAAACCCTTCGCAGGGGGAAGCTGTTGGCTCCCCCATGCCGTTCAAGCAAAGTCTAGACCCTAAACTCTAAACGTTTGCGTCTGTATTTCAAGTTCTGCTGCGAAGCTGTGCTTGTAGGGCGTAGCAGACCGTGTCTACTATTGAGGGTTTAGGGTTTAGGATTTAGGGTTTGTGCGTTGGGGGGGTGTTTGGGTGTACAGACATGCTGGCGTTTCAAGAGTTGCAGCATTTGCTGGCTTTTTTCAGTGACAAGTCTCGGCACGGTCGTCGCTTTTCAGATTTGTACGAGACAGTGCAACATGCAGGAAATATAATTCCTCGTTTGTATCTGCTCATTACAGTTGGGGTTGCCTTCATAAAATCAAAAGAAGCTCCTGCAGCAGATATTCTCAGAGATTTAACAGAACTCTCGAAGGGAGTTCAACACCCCATGCGCGGCCTCTTCCTTCGTTTCTATCTCATTCAACTCTGCAGAGATGTTCTCCCAGATAAAGGGTCCGATTATGAAGTGTAAGACTTAAACCCTAAACCCTAAACCCTTAACATGTGTTCTCCCAGATAAAGGACCCAATTATGAAGTGTAAGGGCCTAAAACCCTAAACCCTTAACCCTTAACCTGCGTTCTCCCAGCTATTCATACCCCAATGTGTTCTGCTACTTCTGCTGCTGCTACTACTGCTCTTGCTGCTGCTACTGCTCTTTCTGATGCTGGTGCTGGTGCGGCTGCTGCAGGGAGGGGGTTTCGGGTCCGGATGATGCATTTTTGTTTTTGCTGACGAATTTCAACGAGAGCGCCCGTCTATGGGTGCGGCTGCAGCAGCAGAGCAGCTTGAGAGACAAAGTGAAGAAAGAAAAAGAGAGAAAAGATTTAAAAGTTCTGGTTGGGTCTGCTCTCGTTCGCATGGCGCAGCTAGAAGGCATGACTGCTGAGTTTTATAGAACCCAAGCACTCCCAGCCATTCTCCAGCAGGTAACCCGCTGCAGCTGTTGTTCTTGCTGCTGCTGCTGCTACTCTTGCTGCTGCTCTTGTTGCTCTTGCTGCTGCTGCTCTTGCTGTTCCTGTTGCTGCTGCTGTTGCTGCTGGATATATCTGCTATTGTTGTATGTGTGTGTGTGTGTGTGTGTGTGTGTCTGTGTGTGTGTGTGTGTGTGTGTGTGTGTGTGTGTGTGTGTGTGTGTGTGTGTGTGTGTGTGTGCGTGTGTGTGTGTGTGTGTGTGTGTGTGTGTGTGTGTGTGTGTGTGTGTGTGTGTGTGTGTGTGTCTGCGGATGCATGCATGCATGCATGCAGATACTGGGATGTAAAGACGTCTTAGCGCAGCAGTATTTATTAGATTGCATAGTGCAGGTGTTTTCGGATGAATGCCATTTGCAAACGCTGGATATTTTCTTAGAGCAAACAAAACATGTTCAGAAAGGAGGTGGGCCTACTCTTAAACAAAATATAATAATAATATTAATGAAAATAATAAAAATGAAAATATGTAGTAATAATAATGATAATTAGTACGTATTTTTTAATTTCTTTTTTTTCAGTTGCACTGAAGCCAGTGTTAACGAATCTCCAGCCGCACTTTGTCTATTTTATATCCTACTTATTATTTACTTCATTATTTGCTATTTATTATTTATAATGTTTTGTTTAATTTATTATTTATTTCTTCTTTTCAGTTGCACTGAAGCCAGTGTTAACGAATCTTCTTAGACGGCTTACGAGCTTCCTCCAGGCGAACCCAGAGGTATTTTTTTTATTCGTTTGTCTGAGCGAATTAAACATTTCCCTTTATTTGTTAAAGATGCATATACATATATATATATATATATATTTATTTGTTCATTGTCGCTGCGTGATAAGTTATTTATATTGTCTCCACTGTTTGCTTTCGCTTCCTTTTTGTTTGTCTGTGTTAGTTTGTGATTTATTTTGTTTGTCTCTCTCTTGTTTTTGTTTGTTTATTATTTATTTTGCTTGCGTCTTTTGTGCTTTTGTTCTTTTATTACTTATTATAGGCATTGCCTGAGGATATTTCTCTGTTTGATTTGTTTGCGAATTTCATTCGCTCGCAAATTGAAGAGACAATTAACTCGCATTCAACAGCAGGGCAGCAAACGCCTTCTAGTGCTTCTTCTGGGGGTAATTAACCAACTAAATAATAATATACATATGTATGTATATATATCTTAAATAATACATTTATATAAATATTTATATATAATATTTGTCGTTGGTGTTGATGTGCGGCGCAGGGGCGATGAGCGTTTCATGCTTGCTGGCATTGCAAGAAGTCTTTCAGAGTTTTTGTTTGTCTTTGTTCCCCTCGCGTGTGGATTATATATCTCTTATTCTTGATGATGCATTTAGACTATTAGCAGCAACTTGCCAGCGGCCTTCTGCAGCAGCAGCAGCAGCAGCAGCTGCAGCAGCAGCCGCAGCAGGCAGCAGATCGCCTCCAAGCCTTTCCAAGCTGCACAGCCCCTCAGCTGCATGCAACGACGGTAGCTTTTCTTCTGGTGGAGCAGCAGCAGCAGCAGCAGCCGCTGCAGCAGCAGCAGCAGCAGCTGCTGCTGCTGCTTCTCCTGAATCCAGCATGCGGCTGCAGCTGCTACCTGAAGAGGGAATGGAAGCTGTTTGCTCGTTGCTAACGAACCCACTAAACGTATTATCTCTCCAGGCCCTCAACATTGCCAGCTACTCCCCTCTGTTGGAGTTCTTAGACGCAAACACCAGATATCAAGGTACTCAATCCTTGCATGCATGCATTCTTGCAATGCTGCATGAATGCAGAGATGCTTCTGCTGCTTTGCTGCTACAGTTGCTTTGCTGCTACTGCTTTGGTGCTGCGGTTGCTTTGCTGCTGCTGCTTTGCTGTTGCTGCTGCTGGAGCACGCGCCAATGCAATGTTTGTTTGGTTTGTTGCAATTGTTGTGTGTATTGTTTGCCTGGGGAAAGTAGGTGTATGCCGCCTTGTGCATGCATTCTGTTTATTTTTGTTTGTATTCTTTTTTTGTTTTGTTTGCATGCATGCAGTTGCGGATAGCATGGTAGCTGCAGTAATAGCTGCAGGTCTTCCCCTGGATTCTGCTGCTTTATTTAATCATTTCCTTATGCTGGTTTCCCCTTTAATTGAAAAAGAAGAAAAAATAAAAGGCGGAGATGATGAAGGTGATGCAGGGGAAGATGATACGCATGCAGTGGCAGCAGCAGCCGCAGCAGCAGCAGCAGCAGCAAAACATCTCCACCAACTTGCTATGCTTGTTCATCTCTCCAAAGCTGCAGACACTGATGAACAATTTCAAATTCTTCTCGCTGCAAAAAATGCATTCTCCGGAGGTATTTCTTTTTGTTGCTTTTTTCTTGTTTTTGTTCTTTATGCTGTTGTTGTTATTGTTGTTTATTTAGCTGTTTGTTTTGCTGTTGATATTTATTTTGTTTGTGTTTATTTTGTTGTTTATTTGGCTGCTGTTTATTTTTTCGTTGTTTATTTTGTTCTTGTCTTCTTATTTTGCTGCTTATTTTGTTGTTTATTTGGTTGTCGTTTGCCTGTTCATCTTGTTTGCTCATCTTGTTATATATTTTGTTGTTACTGCTGTTGTTGCTGCTGCTGCTGTTGCTGCTGTTGCTGCTGCAGGAGGAGCACTGCAGCAACGGGTGCTGCTGCCCCCTTTGGCTGTTGCTGCATGCCGTTTGCTGCCTCTTGTGCTGGAACGTCAATCTCTTTCTGAGCAAAGATTAGAGAAGTCTCCTGTTTATGGAGGGAAGCGTGTTTGTCAGTTTTTGCATTCTGTTTGTCTTCAACTTGTTCCTGTAGAGCCGGAGGTAAGGAGATTATTCTTTTGTATGTTGCTTGCTTTCTTTTGCTGTCTCTTTTTATGTATCTTTACTGTCTTTCTTTCTCTTATACTCTCTTTCTCTCTTTGCTTTCTTTTGCTCTTTTCACGTGTCTCTTCTGCCTATCTCTCTTTTATACTCTTTCTCTACTTTCTTTGTTTCTCTCTCTTTTGCTTTCTTTTCCTGTCTCCTTTTCTTTTTTTGTTTTCTTTTTATTACTTTTTCTCTCTCGTTTTCCTTCGCTCTTTTTTGTCTTCTTTGCTGTCGTTAATCACCGTTGTTTCTTTTAACTTGCTATTATTAATTTGTTGTTGTTTATTATTCGTGCTTTATTATTATGCATTGCTACTATATATTATTATTACTATTATTATTGTTATTATTACTATTCGTTTCTTACTTATTGTTTTTATTTATTAGTATTAGTATGCATATCTTGATTGCTCCTCATTTATTGTTTATTCTTTATTATTCTTTATTCTTCATTTACTTTCGTATTCCTTTAAAAATATATAAACAAGAATTTGTGTTTGTATAATTAACACGATTGATGCTTTTTGCAGTCTGTTTTATTTATTTCTTTTCTTTCTTTGTTTGTCTATTTTATACAGATAGCCTTTCGCTTGCTGCTGCTAGCAGCTGTAGCAACAGAAAAAGCAAATATAACTGCAGGGGGTTATGCAGCTATTTGCGAAGAATTTGCTTCCCAGGCTTTAGTTTGTTTTCAAGAAGAAATAACAGACAGCAAAAAACAATTCGCTGCTCTCACTGAGGTCGGGGCCTCTGTTTGTTTGTTTGTTTGTTTCTTTAATTGCTTGTTTGTTTATTTGGTCGTTTGTTTTGTTTGTTTATTTCTTCTGTTTGTTTGTTTTGTTTGCTTGTTTGTTTTGTTTGTTTGTTTGCGGGTTTGCTTCTAGTTAGGTGGATCTCTGCATGGTTGTTTGTTTAATTCGTTTTCATTTAAATAAATGCATTAGTAATAAACAAATAATATATTGTGTTTGCTTGTTTGCTTTTAATCAGATGGTTGGCTGTTTTTCAGGATATATTCGCAGTTTAGATCCGGAGAATTTCGCTGTTGTTTGTTCATGTTTGTGCGTTTCTGTGTTTGTTTGTTTGTTTTATGTTTTATTTATTGATTTTAATTGATTAAATATCTTTTGTTTGTTTGTTTGTTTGTTTTGAATCAGATGGTTGGATGCTTTTCAGGGTATATTCGCAGTTTAGATCCGGAGAATTTCGCTTCGCTTGCAGCGAAAATGACGCAGCACGGAGCGAAGCTACTAAAAAGAGCAGATCAGTGCAGAGCTGTTCTTTCTTGTTCTCATTTGTATTGGAATGCAGTAAGTTATTAGTATTTATTCTTTATTCTTTATTATTTATTTATTATTAATTATCAATTGTCATTTATTATTATTTACATTGCTTAATAGGGCTGTGGCTTTTAGTATCACTCAAGTTGAATTGAATTTATGCATGGGTAGAGTGAATTTGCATACATATATTATATATATTTATATATATATTTATATTTATTTATTTATTCAGGTAAACTACAGAGACAGTCAACGAGTGTTGGAGTGTTTGCAAAAGGCCCTAAAAATTGCAGACACGGCCATTCAAGCGAATGCATCTCATGTTTGTCTTTTCGTTGAAATATTAAATAAATATATTTATTATTATGAACAAAACAACCCCGAAGTAAGACAAATAAGCCGTAAACCCTCAAACCCTAAATATGGATGCCTATATTTATACATAGATATGAATATATATATATATATATATATATATATATATATATGCAATATGTTTGTAAACTTTGAACCCTAAAACCCTAAAGGCTAAACCCTGAGCAAACGCCTAAACCCCAAAAAGCAAATATACTTATTACTACAGACAAGCCAACCTGGAGCAATCATCCCCAAACCCTAAACCACAAACCCTAAACCCTAAACCCTAGGAATGCGCCCGCTTTCTTTTTTCTGAATCCAGCCCTTAGGGCATCTTGTTATTAATGCAGAACCTTCGCACACCCTAAATCCTAGTTTCTATAGACCCTAGATGTTGTAAACCCTAAAGCCTAGATGTTGTCAATCCTAAACCCTAAGCCCTCGATTTCGTAAACCCTAAACGGTAGATGCTGTAATTCCTAATTACAGCATCTACCGTTTAGGGTTTACGGTAGATGCTGTAATTAGGAATTACAGCATCTACCGTAAACCCTAAATGCAGACCCTAGATGGTCTGCAGCCTAGATGCGCTAAACCATAAACCCTCGATGCTGTCAACCCTGAACCCTAAACCCTTAATGCTGTAAACCCTAAACCCTTAATGTTCTAAACCCTAAACCCTCGATGTTGTATACCCTAAACCCTTTTTTTGTGGTTTAGGTGACAGCGGACTTCATACAAAATCTCCTTGCCCTCTGCGTAGAGCACTGCAAATTTGCAGAGATAGGTGCGAAATTTATTTTATTTCCTTTTGTTTATTTTTTATGTTTTGTTTTTGTTTTATCAAGTTATTTTGTTTTGTTCGTTTAATTGGTACATTTAAGGGCTTACTTTATTATAATACATTTATTTTCATTCGTTTTTATTGTTTTGTTCGTTGTTTTTGTTTCTGTTTTGTTTGTTTAGTCTGTTTAATTGCTTGTTTTGCACTTTTTAAATTTATTTTCTTTGTGAGTATTTTCTGTTTGTTTTTGTTTGTTTTTTGTATTTGTTTGTGCTGTCATCCCTCTTTATTGCATAAACTTGTCTGCTGTTTATATTTGTTGTTTATAATAATGAAAATAATAATCATTATCATTATTACAACAATAATAATAATATGCTTGTGTGGCGTTTTATTGTTTCGTTTATGTGTCTTTGTATATCTGTTTGCTGTTTGTTTGTTCTTTTCTTTCCTTGTTCGTGTTTTTCTCTTATTTTCTCTTTTATTTTATATATACTGGGTACTAGGGTTTAAGGTTTAGGGTTTACTGAGGGTTTAGGGTTTGTTGCGTTCAGACAAGGATGACGACGTCATGAGAAGCTTCCGCAACACTTTACAGCACCTCAAGCTGAAGAAGCAAACGGACCCGAGCAATCGATATAAAAGTTTGTTCTAGGGTTTAGGGTTTAGGGTCTAGGTGCTGCGTTGTAGCAAAAGGCGTTGCTCTAGGGTTTAGGGTTTAGGCGCTGCGTTGTAGCACCACAAGCTGAAGAAGCAGACAGGCATGAGCAATCGATATGAATGCTGCTTTAGGTTTTTGTGTTATTTCTTCTATCTGTTCGTTTAGCTTTCATCTTGAGGGTTTAGGGTTTAGGGTTTAGGGTTTGTTCGTCTGTACAGGCCTGGATCTGTCGTTTGAGCTATGATGAAGGCTTTTAGGGTATATTTCTTTCTTTGTATTTTTTTATGTGGTGTTTATGTTATTTAAATAAAGAAATCATTTAAACGTTAACACAAACTATGTTTTAATTATTTTATTTCAATTTGTTCATTGGCACATCACTGTATTGCCGCCTGCTTTTTTCTATTCAACAAATTGTTTGTCTTTATTTACTTATTTATTCCTCGATCTTTCTTTGTCGTCCTGTATTGCTTGTTTCTTCGTTTATCTTCTTTTTGTTTGTCTATCTATTTTCGTTGTATCGTTTGTTATTCTTTATTATTTATCTTCATTTATTCACTTAATTTTTAAATTCTGTATTTATCATTGGCTTTGGTTTGCCTGTATTTATTATTTATTCTTATTTGTTTATGATTTTTATCTATTCTTACTTCTCGTTTTTGCTGCTGTCTGTACTCATTACGCATTTCTACAACTTTACTCATTCATTTTTTATTTTATTTTAATTTTGCGTGCAGGCGTTTGCGTGGGGAGGGAAAGAGAGAGAAAGAGACGGCAAACAATCTTTTTTGTTTGTAATTTTTGTATATATATACAATACCTATATATATATATATTAATTAAAGAAGAGCAAGTTCTGTTGAGAGAAGTAAATGATTTGTTGAATAAAACAATAAATACTATAACGTCGTCTCTTTGTCTCCGATAAGTATAGACAGACACTAAAAAGAAAAAAACAAAAGAAAACAACAATTTCTTTTTTTTCTTCTTTTTTACTGCACATACAAACTACCGCCGCCAAACAGGCAAACTAAAACCCATATATATTAACATATATCTGTATGCATATATATATATATGATATATTTAAATATATATTTAAATATATTTAAATATGCATTTAAATATATTTAAATATATATTTAAATACATTACATAAATTATATATATATAGACTGCCATGCGTACTTGAACAAGTACAGCAAGCAAGAGAGAAAAACAGAGAGAGGAAAGAAAACTAAGAAGTACATGGAGAGAGAAAAAGAAAAAGAAAGAAAGAAAGAAATGATGGATAGCTACGCCTCTTTAAGAGATATACGCGGGCAAACATTCATAGACATAAGTTCTTGAAAGAGAAGTTTGCATGCATACGGCATTTGTACATTTGCAATTGTTTGTGTTGATTTACAAGAAATGCAGCATCCCGAAGCTCCAATAAGACCGCAGGTAGTGCAGACAGAAGCAGAGAAGACATCACTAGAGAGAACAAGCCTTTCTAATAATAATGCAGAAGCCCCGTATGCAACTAAACAATCCCTCTCCATTTCCCCTAATCTTAAACCTCCATCACGCGCTCTTCCTTCTGTTGGTTGTCTTGTTAAGAGTTGTCTGGGGCCTCTTCCTCTTGCATGAATCTTATCTTGAACCATATGTTTTAATTTCTGATAATACACCGGCCCAGCGAAGACATATGCCTGCAGTGGAGCTCCGCTGATACCACAAGAAAGATATTGTTTTCCTGAGTAATGATACCCGTGTTTTAATAAAGCTTTTCCTAGATCTTCTGCATTTGCGCCAGAGAATGCAGTGCCGTATTGCAATTCCCCAGAAAGTAAAGCTGTTTTATTAGCTAATAATTCTAATAACTTCCCCACTGTCATTCTTGAAGGAAAACCATGAGGATTCATTATTAAGTCGGGTACCCAACCATCTTCACTAAAAGGAAGATCTTCAGGAGATGCAATTAAACCTACAACCCCCTTCTGGCCGTGACGAGAAGAAAATTTATCTCCTAACTCTGGAAGTCTTGTTTGTCTTAGCATAAATTTAACTAAACGACTACCATCAGCATTCTCTGTTAATATAACTCTATCAACATATGAAGGCACAGGCGTTTTATAACGAACAGGAGAAGGAGTATATTCATTTTCTTCCAGATTGATAGGGTCTGATAAGGCACCCTTCGTATTACTAGGGCTATACTTATTCACAAGAAGCATTTCTTCTTCTATTCTTTGTCCTACTCCTGCAATACCATCTTCTTCCAATGTACTGAAGCGTCTTGAGCTAAACCCTAATAAACCCCCTCCACAACGTTCATTTTCTTCCAGATTGATAGGGTCTGATAAGGCACCCTTCGTATTACTAGGGCTATACTTATTCACAAGAAGCATTTCTTCTTCTATTCTTTGTCCTACTCCTGCAATACCATCTTCTTCCAATGTACTGAAGCGTCTTGAGCTAAACCCTAATAAACCCCCTCCACAACGCCGAGCATTTAACCCTAATAAACCCCCACCACTAGAAGCAGCAACACCACCCCCTGCTGCTGCTGCTGCTGCTGCTGCAACACCACCACCACGCTCATAGCAGCCACTTGATGGGGGAGGAAATGCTCTATCACAAGCTCCATTAAAGTAATGCTTGAATTCAACTGTTTGTTTTTTTATAGAAATACACCGACCAAACCCTCTATCTACTGCCCCTCTATTTAAAACAATTGCATCTTCTATATCATAGCCGCTATAACTCATCACAGCCACACTGGCGTTCTGTCCTGTATAAACAAACAAAGACATTCAAATAAACAATAATATATTTCTACTTCATACAAGTAATTAAGGAAACAACAATAAGCGATTATCGAGACAGCTCAAGCTCATTTGCACATAGAAATGGGAATAAATAATCAATAAATAAAAAATAATAATAGATACATTAATAGACAAACAATCATAAACAGGCAATTCTAAATAGGAAAAAGAAACAAAGGAGAAACGAAGAAGAGGGCAATAATAAACAAGGAGTAATAATAAGCAAGGAATTATAAACAAGTAATAATAAACAGCAAATAGTAAACCAAACACAACAAACAGCACACAACAAACACGGTTCACGTAGTTTAAGGGTGTAGGGTTTGTAGGCAGTTAAAGGTTTTAGAGTTTAAGGTTGACTAAAAGTTTAGTGTTGTTTTAATCTGGTTAAAGTGTAAAAGGTAGTGTAAGGGTTTAGGGTTTAGGGTTAAAGGTGATTCAGGGGTTCAGGGTTAAACGTGGTATAAGGGTTTAGCGATAAAGGTGAAATAAGGGTTTAGGGTTTAGGGTTTAGGGTTTTATTGTGAATACCTGCAGGGAGTTGATCGAAGTGTATGAGATCGAGTGTTCTGGATTTGCAGAGGGGTTTTTGGGGATAAACAAGAAGATAAAGAAGAGTATCGCAGCGATTAAACTGATTAAAAGCAATAGCCCCCATAGCCTGCTTCCCCATAGCACACTGATAAGTATTTCTAGGGCTTTGATTATGATGAGGAAAGGCAATAAGACCTGCAACAACTCCTAAAAGAGCAAGAGGCTCTACTTCCATATGTGTTGTTTGCATAGTAATACTTTCTTCATTGAGCGCAATTAATAGATTATTCTCTTCATTAACATCTACCCATTCTAATACACTTGCATGCAATAAATCATCAAACTGTATCTCTCCTCTTTGAAGCTGTTGTAGATGAGATTTCGTTAGGAGGGGCTTCCCCTTCTCAACAACAACAAGCGGGCGAGATAATCTTCCTCCATCTGTAGCTATATATATTGCTTGGTGTGCAGCATTCAGGTGTATAGACACGAAAGCCCTCAGTAAGCCTCTTCTTCTTAACTGTCTTACAGCAGCAAGGAGCTGTTTAGGCCTTTTATGCAGCCCTAAAACAACTCCATTGAGAAAAACAAGAAAAACATTTGCTTCATGCATTTCTGTTGCTGAAAGAGAGTTTATTTCCTCAACGCCTAAAGCAAACACTATACGTATAACGGGGGCTTCTTCTTCGTCGGTTGTTACATGCGTTAATAAAGCTAAATTCTTTACTAATCCACAGCTCTCTCCTTCAGGTGTATCGCAAGGACATATAACACCCCATTGAGAAGGCTGTAGGGCTCTAGGCCCTGAGACTTTTCTTCCCTTTTCAAACTGCGAGCTCAATCTACACATCATTCCTAGAGAAGCAATATAAGAAAGTCTTGAAAGAATCTGAGTTACACCCGAGCGCTCCATTCTAAAGCGCTTAATTACCCAACTTCCCGTAGATAAAGCTGTCTGCATGCCTCTAGTAATAATATCATGAGGTAGATTTCGGCAACAATCAGGATAAGGCAATGGGGCGTCTTTAGATCTTGTGCTTGCTGTTCTTGTTTGAAAATAACGAGTAAGAGCATAATCTATTTGCTTCTTCGTCTGAGAGCAAAACCTCTTAAATAAATCCTCCATCAGAAGACCCACCATCTGCCCTGCTAACTCTAAACGCTTATTACCATAGTAATCTTTATCATCAAGCAGGTCTGGGCTTGCAGCTGCTTGTAGGCATCTCCTCGCCATTAAACAAAGAAACCTCCCCTTTAAACGAAAATCACTCCCGCTGCTATGAATATGTGCAAGTAATACACGATGCAGTGTATCTACAGCTTCTTCTAAAGCTGTTTTTCCTTGTTTTGTTTCTCTCTCACGCGCAGGAGCAAAGAAGCCGCGCCCATGCATGCGGGGCCTCAAGCGAGACCCTACCCATAATAAAGCTTGTTGTTGTGTTAATACTCCTTCTACATGACAGTCTTGAAGAGAAAGAGAAACAGCTTCATGCCCTCCTGCTGCTGCTCCTGCTGCTCCTGCTGCTCCTGCTGCTTCACCATCCGCTTCTTCGCTGCTTGTAGGAGAAGCTGTGCCTATCATTTGCATTATTTCCTGATCTGTCTCCAGCCCCAAAGCTCGCAGTACTATGCATAAGGGAAGATCATCTAGAAAAGAATTATGCCGCAAGTATAAGCGGCTCCCTTTCAAAACAACAGAAGTTCTGCTCTTCGCTTCAGCAGTAGCAGAAGTCACTGTTGCACACACATTCCTCTTCATATCCAGCTGCATGCAACATAAACATAAACAAATGCATGCATATGCATGCATATGCATGCATGCACGGGCGCGGAGGTGGGTGTATGCATGCATGCACGCAAACATTTGTGTGCATGCATGCATGCGGTTCTTTTTCTGCTGCATGCGTGTGTTGGTTGTGTTGGAGTTGGACTGCTTACCTCTACAATAATTCTATTCTTTGACAGCTGCTCCTGCATTAGCAGAACCTGAATGCAAAGAAGAAAAACAAACGAAAAGAAGTCAAAAAAACGCTACATGCATGCATGCAGTCGACTGCTACGTGCAGATAAAGAGAATAAGGAGACGGACGAGGGTATATATATATATATATATATCTGGTGTATACACATATATATTCGTTTTTCTTCCTGCTCACCTTCTCTGTTCCCTTTACAATGAAATATCCCCCTGGATCTAAAGGGCATTCGCCCAGCTGCTGAATCTGCGCCGTTGTTTTTCCATATAAAGCGCAGGCTTTGCTCTTAACCATGACGGGTATATAGCCAATGCAAACGCCTCTTCTGCGAACGATTTCGTTTCCTCTGCTGTATTCAATCTCAGCAAGAAGAGGAGCGGCATAACTGATCTCCCGCACCCTGCATATTTTCGGGGTCAGTTTAAACTGCTGCATGCTCTCATCTAGCCGAGCCTCCCCCACCTGAATGTCAATAAACTCCAAGAAAAAAGAAGGATCTACGTCCGATTTAATCAGGCGATTTGCTGCAGCTCGCACAATCGATCGAAGCTCGTGCGTAATTAAATAGTTGTAAGAAGCCAAATGCTGCGAAACCAAACCTCTACTTTCAAAAAATGCGGGCAAGAGACGCCACTTGTCCGGCAAGGTTTCCACGCGCTTTCCGAGTGAATAGGAAGCTTCTGTGGGTTTTGTAGGGGGAGAAGAAGATGAATTTGAAGAAGCAAATGATACTTTTCTAGTTGACGACGAAGTTATAGAGGAGTCCTCGCTAAACTTCACCCCCAATATCTTCTTTTTACTCAATTCAGCACCATCCGACTTGCACGCATCACTGTAAGCTGTCGATACACCTGAAACTGAAGAAGGCGCCGATACACCTGAAACTGAAGAAGCTGCCGATACACCTGAAACTGAAGAAGGTGCCGCCGTTGGGGCAGTAGGCGTCCTCATAGGGGTTTCAGGAGCATCATCAGGAGAAGAAGAAGCAAATGCTGTAATTTCTTCCTTGGATTCCCCTACAGAAGTTGCAGCTTTCTGCGGTATCTTAGGCCCGAACTTAGGCTGTACAGACACCCCAATATCCGGGGCCCCCCCCGGGGGCCCCTCCTGCTTGGAGGGGCCCCCAGGTTTACGAATGCGTTTTCTGTTATGCATTGAATTTTAGACTGTTATTTCAACATATGCATGCGCAAACAACGAGAAGAATACACCGCAAAACGCCGCCAATAGACCGCGAGGCCCCCGCGTCCTCAACATGTTCGCCGATTCATTTCCAGGGAAGCAGAGGAGAAATAGAAGAATTGAAGTTTTCTTCTTTTAAATAAATTACTAAACAAAGCAATAAAGAATATAGAAGAATAAAAACGAACAAATTGAGGGGTGGACTTGCGTTCCCGCTGTGTTTGCAGCAGCAACTTGAACGAGAAAAAGAAGATGAATTTTTCTTCACTGTTTCCTTCTGCCGTTTTTGTTGTTTTGGTTGTTGTTACCACTGCGGTTAAACCGAATATGTATTAATAGCATTTGTAATCTTATTCTCTACAAATGCAAGAAAAGAAATACTTATTAAACAGTAGAAGGCAGGCTCCTCCATTTTCTTACATGCATGCGGAGACTTACAAGCCCCGAAACAAACAGAGAAATAAATGCACAAGCACATGCATGCATACGTGTATGCAATATATTAATATAATTTTTATGTTTGTTTCTAGTGTTAGTGTTCGTGATAACAAACAATCAACTCAACAATAAGTTCCTTCGCCTTCGTATCGAAAGCTGCTCTAAATGTGCAGCTGCTGCAGCATACACCAGCATCTATTTGTTCCTATTAATATATTTCTTTGTTTTTCCTTTTATTTTGGTATGCAGTGTGTGTGTTTGCATTTATTCCCGGTTTCACTTCCTACATTTGTAGTTTTATAGTGCTGCTGCTTTCCTCTTTATTTGTGTTGCTTGCATTTCTACGGTTTAGGGTTTAGAGTTTAGGGTTTGTAGTATCGGAAAATAGAAGTGCTGCAATTTTATCGCTATTTATGTTTCATCGGTTTTGTTGTATGCATTAATTGATAGGGTGTATGTACAGCTTCTGTTTATTTGTATATTTATTCCTGTATAGAAAAAATAAAGTTAATACTTTTTGTTCAATCTGCAAGAAACGTTACATTTCCTCTTCTTTTCTTGAATTGTTTGTCTTTCTAAGATTGTCTTCATCTTTTGTTTGCTTTTTCATGCCTGGCTTATTGTTTGTTTGTTTTTAAATTTTTGTTTGTTGTATATGTCTGTCTGTTTTATATGTTTGTTTGTTTTATTTTTTTGTTAGTTTTATATCTTATGCATTTGTTGAGTTGGGTATTGTTGCAGTGTTTTCTTTGTTTTGCATTTTAATATCTTTTTTGACTGTCTTTGCTTCCAATGTGGCGATATCAATTTTTCTTCTCCATGAGTTTATTTGTTTTGTTTGTCGCTGCAGCAGCACCTTCCGCAACACTAAGTCTTTTAACTGCGGTAGCTGGTTGCTGCGGCGCGACTGAGCCAACAACCTGCATGCAAACCCTAAACCCTAAACCCTAAGCCTTAAACCTTAAACCCTAGACTATAAGCCCCAAGCCTTAAACCCTAAACCCTCAACCCTAAACCCTAAACCCTAAACCCTAAACCCTAGAATGTGAAACATTCAAGGAGTGATCGCCGCAGTTCAATTAGCTGTTCGTACTCGCTTTGCAAGTTAGGGATGAGGGGCAAGGGTTTAGGGTTTAGGGTTTACCGATTAGGGTAGCCTTTCGAATACTCTTTCCCTTTAATAAATCTATTATTGTTATTATTTTTTATTATTATTGCTGTTATTATTATTATCACTGGTATTTTATTGTTATTATTTTTTGTCGTTCTTTTTTTGCAAATTTTACTACCACTCTCATTATTATTTTTATTGTATTATATTACATATTTACTAATATAATAATAATAATATTCTTATTATTATATTATATTACATTACATTATATATTATTATTATTTATTAACGTAAAAGCTAGTACTACTGTTTATACTATTGTAGTTGTTGTGCTGCAAAAACCCAAAACCCTAAACCCTAACCCCGCAAACCTAAACCCTAAATGCTCAAAGCTAAACCCTAAACCCTAATTTAGGGTGTATATAGGTGTTGCGGTTTACCTTTTGGTTTCATGTTTGATGGCGTCTCTTTCTTTTGCAGTTTCTTTTGCGTCTTTCTTTGTTTTTTCAATTGCTGCTTGTCTTGAAAGAATAGCAGAGTTTAAATTTGTGCCGGCTGTAACACTGCGAAGCAATTCTTCTTTTAAGATTGTCTGAGCCTGCAGCAATGCAGCTGAAAACAGCAAACAAAACAAACAAAAAATATCTTCACTTTTACTGTTATTTTATCGGCGTCTTCGTAGTCTAACAAATTATAACACACAATATTAATCCTAAAGATATTCGTATATAGATGGATATATATATATACATATATTTCTACCTATATATATATATATATATGTATATATATATATATATATGTATATATATATATATATATATACATATATATATACATTTATGTGCATATGTACCTCTATAGATATGTATACAGATATGCACGTATATATAAACATATATGTATATGTTATATTTATAGCTATATACATATATATGCGAATATATACACATATACACCAACACATAGAAATGTTAATATATATATATATATATATATATGAGTAGTAGGAGAGGAAAAGGAGAAAAGTCAGTGCATGCATTTGGGTGTACTAATATGTGAATAAAAATACAGCATTTTTTCTTTTTTGTTGCGATGTCTCCTTTAGAAGATTCTAAAAGAGCAGCAAACTGCTCATTCTCTATTTGAAGCTGATGGAGGTCTATTCTCTGAATGCCTGATGCTGCTGCTGCGCTGCTGCTGCTGCTGCTGCTGCTGCTGCGCATGAAAGCAGCTACGTGCTGCTCGTGCTGCTTCGCCTGCAACTTCTGCTGCAACTGCTGCTGCTGCTGTTGCTGCTGCTGCAGCCGCTGCTGTAAATGCAGCAGCAAATCTTCTCCTCTTGTCTTCCCGCTCGTTATATCTTCACCCCCAACAACCACCGCTCGACGAAATGCAAACGCGTCACGGCGCACCTAACACAAGCCCTAAACCCTAAACCCTAAACCCTAAACCCTAATTTTGCGGCCTTCAACCCTGAACCCGAATTTAGAAACCCTAAACAGTAAACCCTAATTTTTATAGAATAACCGCTAAACCCTAATTTTAATAATAATAGCCTCAAACCCTAAACCCTAAAGCCTGCAGCTATTTTTATATTTGCTAACAAATAACAGCAAACCCACAAAAAAGAAATAGAGCAAGCATAAAGAGGAAATGCGCTTTAAATAAGAAAATAAAATATTATATTTTATAATAAGCACATATAAATATGAATATATATATATCTATATAATGTTTATTGTATATTGTAGATATTAAAGTGAATGCTGATAACAAAAGCATGCGGAGGAGAATAAAAGACGAGAGAAAAGAGAGCAATAAAGAATGTAAATAATATATTTTACCTAATATATAAAATATATAGAAAATAATATATAATATACAGTGTATAGTATATGTAATAAATCTATAATACACAATATATAATAAATTATACATAATATAACATATATATGTATGTAGATTATTCAAGAAACAAAGCAAATAATAATAATAATAATAATAAAATAGTAATAACAATTATTATGATTATTTGTTTTTCTCTTTTTGTTGCTACAACCAAACCCAAGACTAACAAACGAACAAACAAAAAGTAAAGAAATAAACAAACAAATTAATAAATAAATAGATAAATAGAGCAAGGAATCAAACTATATTTATATTTATATTTATATTTATATTTATATTTATACTTATATTTTTTTATTGACTACGCACTTCTGCTGCTTGCAGCTCCCCTTCCTTCTTACTCTCCTAAAGCAATACATGCAAACAAAACAACAAAAACAACTTCCTGCTGCTGCTGTTGCTGCTGCTGCAACTGCTGCTGCTGCTCCTCCTGCTGCTGATGCAGCGACTGCTGCTGGTAATGGAGTGTTTGCTGCAGCAGCAGCAGAAGGTTAACGGCAGTAGCAACAGCAACAGGCTAACAGAAGAAGCAATAGCAGCTGCAGCTACTGCGGTTGCTGCTGCGGCTAACCTGCGGCTGCTGCTGCTGCAGCTACGCTGCTGCTGCTGCGTCTGGGGCTAACCTGCTACTGCTGCTGCTGCTGCTGCAGCTACCCTGCTGCTGCTGCGTCTGGGGCTAACCTGCTACTGCTGCTGCTGCTGCTGCTGCTGCTGCTGTTTGTGTTGTGTGGCGGACTCTGAGGAGTTTTTTCGCTCCTTTGATTTGCGCTTTAAGTTTAAAAATTTGTTTTTTCTTCCTTTCGACTGCAGCAGCAACAAACTCCTGTCTCTTTTCCAGAGACAGCGCTCCAGCAGCAACAACAGAGCAGCGCGCTGCTGCACGAGAAGCAGCACCAAACCCACTCTGTCCTTGCTGCCGATGCAGCAGACCCTGTTGCTGCTGCTGTTGCTGCTGCTGCTGCTGCTGCTGGGGAGGAGGAGAAGCTTCTGGTCTCTTCTCTTGAAGCAATGCTTCCAGTGCTTGCTGCAGCACCCAACTCTCCACTGCTGTTAGCTGCTCGCGGCGCTGCAGCAGCAAAAAGAGCAGCAAAAGGTTGCTGCTTTCAACCACCTGCTGCTCTCCCAGCTGCAACAGCAGCAGCTGCTGCTGTTGCTGCTCTCCTTAGTGCTGCAAACAAATGGGCTGCTGCAGCAGCAGATACGTGAATTATTTTTCGGTTCAGGCAGCAGCAGCAGCAGCAGCAGAAGCAGCACCTGCTGCTGCTGCTGCTGCTGTTTGCCTACCTGCTAGGGTACGACTAAGCGCATGCATGCAGATGCATTTGTTATTTGCTTTTTAAGTTTTAATAATATTAGCATAAAAAATGAATAGGGTGTTCGAAATAAAAAATATGCGAAGATAATTGTTTCATTTAAAATAAATTAACAAAATGTATTATATTTATTACATATTTTATTTTATTTTACTTCATTTTACTGTCAGTTCTTCCATTTGGATTTTCTTTTTTCTTTTTTCAACAAAACAATAATAAAATATATTATGCTAATTACACATTCAATTTAATTTTAGTTCACTTTAATTTAATTTAATTATTTAATTCAATTTATTTTTATTTAATTATTTAATCTAATTTAATTTTACCCTTAATTCTTGTATTTGAATTTTCTTTTCTTCATTCTGCGCTTTTATAGCAGTTAACTGGGATGTAAGCTCCGCCTCAATGTGAGGGTCGGCAGGGCGCAGGCTTGGGGATTTTAACTGCATTTTTTGGGTAAAAAACAAAAATTGAATTGAATTATTAATTTAATTTAATTTAATTTAATTTTATTTTATTTATTTCGCCTTTTAAACCGTTTCAACGCTCAAAGAAACAACAACATCGCTACGAGCTAAGCAACGCTGCTCGTAACTGCGGCAGCGACAACAGATAATGTACGGTGTAAAGCCTGCAAATCAATTAAAATGCATCTAATTAAAATAAAATAATAAATAAACATTAAAATTAAATAGCAAGAAAAAGTGAAAAAGAAGACAAAGTCGTACGTAACCGACGCCCAAATATCACCTGCATATACACCGCAGCGCCTGCATGCAGCCCCCCTTATTTTTCTTGAAATCTTCGAATTTTTGGCCTATTTTTGCCGTTTATTTATTTAAAAACATTGATCAAAGTTTTTGTATTTACAAAAAGCTCTTTATTTCAATACCAGGTTACCTATTTATCACTCAACTTTAAGAAAAATTCCTCAAGGGCGCAGCCTACATGCAACGAGTCCGCTGGTCTCTGTGCTTTTTGTCTTAATTTTATTTACTTCTGAAGTAAATTAAATAGAATAAAGATGATTCGAATATGTATTTGTTTGTATGTAGCTATATGCGTTATGCATTTTGCGTATATGTCTGGTATATATATATATATATATATATATA